TAAATAACCTAATCAAATTAATATATTAAAATTTTACATATAAAAAACTTTAATATATTATAATATTAAAGTTTTTGATTAATTAAGTGTATAAATTATAATTGGAATTAGGATCCAATTAAAAGTGTTTTATTGTTATTAAAAGAATTATTTTTGAATAAAATAATATATTTGATTGAATAATACTTAGTTATTTACTTCAATTATCAAGTATTTATAGTAAATTAATAATTAATTAATTATATGTGATAAATTGGTAAAAATTAGTACATTACCGCTCCATTAATTCACTAACCTTTCATCTTTCAAATTCTCAACTTATACCACCACATCTCATTTCATTCAACTTAATAATAAATTCCAACCATTAAATACCCTACAAGCCAAATGTTACAAGGTAAGTCACAAATATGGTAAATAGCCCCAATGTGATTTGAACTCAAGAAGCAATAAAGGGAGCATTCTGGACCGCCAAGCCAAGCCAACCCTTTGGAGTTATAATTGTTACTATTCCCTCTCCTTCCTACCTACAAATAATTTAATTTAGAACCTGTTTGATATGGCTTCTCAGGTTCTTCAAATAGAGTTTATATGAATATAATTTTGAGAAAATCTTGACAATTATTTGGTTAAGAAAATGTAGAAGAACTTTCTAATATTAATTTACTAAGAAGGGTTTTACTATACAAGAATAGGTCAAGTTAAATTTATAAAATTAAATAGAGATATTTTTGAAATTTCAAAACTCTCTTAAACTCAAAAAAAGGGCATGGAAAAAACTCAAAATTTGAGCTTCTCTAATAAGCCGTAAAACAGATTATTTAAAATGAATACATATAATTCATAAAAGAACGCACCCCAAATGATCGTTAGAGATTTTACGATCATTACTCTCTTAATATCTAATAATCTAGATTATAGAAGTCAATCAATGGTGAAGTATCAAACAGACCAGTAATTATCAACCAACACATTGATGTGAGTAGACAGTCCGAAACTTATTGTTTGTGAGTTGGATTTTAATGAACTACTTTTATTTATAACATTTATGTCATGAACGCATAATCACAAATAAAGGAGAGGACGGAAAGAGGAAAACGTTGTTTTCATTGCCGTGCAAATTATTGATGCATGAATTGATGGTTGCCAAATTTCCATGAATCAATAATGCAAGTCTTCAGCTAAATGTCTATTTCTACATAATTGGAGGAATATGTCGGAAAGAGAAATCCGAGCTGGAAAATCTTAATTTACAGAGATTTATATATCAGAAAATATCACTACTTACCCTATGATGTTTTTGAAATTCATAAGAATGACATAAAATAAAAATAAAAAATAAAAATAGAAATTTTATAATCAAGCACCAACTAATTATGATTAATTATACGTATTAAAAAAAAAAAAAAAAGTCCTTGATAAAATACTATATACACAACCAACTAATTATTGATTCATTGTACAACTTTTTATTAAGATTTTTTATTTTTCCATGTATAAGAGATTGACGTGCATGTAATTAGGTCGATCTTCAAAATAATAGGGTTGATTAAATGTTATTGTCAACACTCACCATGCATTGTAATGTTGAAATAGCCTCATGTAAAATTCCTATTAAAGATATCTGTCTCCGAAAACTCTATCTCTTTTTTCTAACTCTTCGTTGTTTCACTCTTATCCGTGGAATACTTTTATTTTTTGTTTTTCATAGATTCGTTTTAGAAACATTTTCTATTGGTCAATACTATATTTACAACTTAATCTCACAAACTTTCTCTTAAAACTCTGATATGGTAACTCGCAATTGATTCCTAATGAAATTTTTTACTTGATCAATTGCGAGTTACCGTTGTAAGAAACAATTAATTTGATAGTTTTCTTTCAAGTTCTTTGACTTGGGCTTATGTGTGCTTACTGCTACTTCCTTTTACTAAGAACTAAATTTGGGCCAACTTTATTTCCTCTTCTTTTGACCTGATTTTGGTATTTTTTATTAGAGGGGAAAAGTAAATGTATGATATTGTTAAATGCTACATGTTTCATTGTTTCATTATAATTACACACTTGTAATTACCGATGATAACAAATGGTAGAGTTAAATTTGAAGCGGTTAAACTAAAATTTTAATNATACTACTTTTAGTATTCCCAAAAAAGTTAAACAGTAAAATATCTAAAAACTTTGATTTTTGGAAATACTACTCCCAATATTATTCAACTTTTTTTAAACCCCTTAAATTTTATAATTTAATTAAATACCCCTAAATATTTTTTTAAAAATTACAAAAACACCCCAGTAATTCATATTTACCAGATTTCGGCCACCACTGCCAGAAAATGGCCGGAATCTGTTAGGATGGCGCACTACCGGCTGAATCTAGCCAGTAGTACGCCGATCATGGATCTGACCGGAAAAGGCCAGATCTAAGGCCAAAGATCTGGTCGTTGACAGCTAGATCTTTGGCCGTAACAGTTTATAACGACGGCCAACAAACGGTTGTCGTTGACCATCAACGACGACCGTTTGTTGGTCATCGTTGACGAGAAAATATGGCCAAATCTGGCCGTAGATCTGGCCTTTGTCGGCCAGATCCACCGTGGATCTGGCCGGCAAAGGCCATATCGGCGCATGACCGGCAAGATCCAGCTGGTTATGTGCCAATACGGTGAACCCGGCCACCCTCCGGTGGTGGTGGCCGGCTGTCCGTATTTGACATTGGGTTGAGGGTGTTTTTGTTAACTTTTAAGATTTTATTATAGGGGGTATTTTGTAAATAAACTAATATAGGGGGTATTTTATTAATTTATAAATCCTACATCGTAATACCCGCCCAATTCAACTTTTTTTTAACTTTTTTCAGAAAACTTTTCCCAAAAACACCCAATTGTGAACCAAACGGAGCCTTTATTTCCTTTCATTTGGACCAAATTTTGGTTTTTATAATCACGCGGTGGGGAAATCATAAATAAAATATGGGTCATGATTTTTAGTTCTAACCTTTTCTTTTAATAGTCTCCCATTTTAACTTTTTTTTTAAAAAAAAAAAAAACTTTTGACAGGTTTAATTTAAATTAAATTACTATAAAGAACACTATACGTTTTAACATGTTTTAATTGCTCACTCCAGTAATTAAATAGACCAATTTTAATTCCTTCTTAGATTATTATATCTCATGTTCAAACTTCAGAGTTACAAGAAATGATTTTTAGGTTTGAATTTCAAATATATTAAGTAATAATAATGAATTTTAGAGTTTAAATATTATTTGAATTTTTCTAAGAATTTGATGGAAATCTATAATCTTGGTATTAAGTGAGATTTCAATAGATATTTTATAACATAAATGTGGTGTAATTAATAAGGAGAATATCAGAATACTAACAAATTAAAAGATGGAAGTCTATAATCTCAGTATTATGTTTCAGTGTTTCTTTACAATGATAAATGCATTAGCGACATATTAGTCAGAATCCAAAAATCCCAGCTATGATGGTTCACAATCGCAATATAAATACTAATTAGGACCCAAAAAAAAAAAATCTACAATGATTTTGTAGTTCATCATTTGTAAATTAAGCTCAAGAACTATGATGTAAAATCAAAGAACTCTCACTAGGGTTCAGAGATACGGTCTCAGGATTGAGTGGACAGAGATCTTCTGTTGATGTAAGGTTTCTTATGCACTCTGAATTGATAAGAGTAGAACCAAAACAATTCAATACGGCTCCATGTCTGGCACCTTCATACATGATATTGTTTATAGTCACAATTGGGCCCCCACAATTAATATGGAGTGATTGATAATCTGGAACATATATAATGCAATCATTAGTATCACTGTAATATATTTTTCCAAGTGCATGATCAAAACTCTGTGATTTTGACCAGAAATAAAACAGCATACAGAGTAATATTTTGGTAAGATATAGATGAAATCTCATTCTAAAACCTATACAACAAAAGATCATATTTTGTTAAGCTTAACTATCTTAAATCATTGTAATATTTGTTGAAGTATGAATCTTTTGGTAGAAGTTGAAGATGCCTGGCATGGAAAAAGTAATGTTGCGGCGAGAAGATGGCAAGCATGAAGTTGAAGACCGACCGCTGCAGCAATAAAAATGGTTGCTGCAGCGGTAGGAGTTTGCTGCAGTGTGCGTGATTGGCTGTGTTGTGCAAACTGCTTTCAGATTTGTTCAAGCAGCAGTTGTTTTTCAGTTAAGTTCAGATTAGAGGTGATGTGTAGACCTTATTAACAACCGCATTTGAATATTAACAAATGTGGTTGTTAATAAAAGCTCTGCATGGTATGTACTTTGGTATGTACATGGCAGAAGCATGAAATAGACACATTTTAGGGTGGATGTAATCGGCTATCCGATGAAATATTATGGCTTATGTAATCTGCATTGACCAAATCCGACACACGTTGCACCGCTCCAAAGCTTCAAACATTACTTCTTGTGCCAACACAGAGATCGCTGGGATAGTGCAACAACGCTGCCGTAGCGTCGTTTTCTGCCATTCTTAAATATTGAAAAAGACACACAGGTCACTGGAGTAGTGCAATGATGCTGCAATTCTAAAATCTAGAAAACGACACAGAGGTCGCAGGAATATTGCAAGGTTTGCACCGTTTTGTGGGGATATACAACACGAAGATCTCTATGTCATCTTGACTTATTGCGTCTAGGTTTTGATTTAGTAACAACCACATTTGAATATTAATTATACAGTATTTGAGTATATATTAGCAACCTCGTCTTTGCAAAAGATACTTCTAATAGATGTCTGGATTCTGTAATTGAGCTGCAAGAACAAATTATACCAGCAATCATATTACATAGACAATACCACATACAAAGGATAAAAAAAACTAGGCGCAAATTCACATGAAACTCAAATCTATAAATACCTAAATTGAGCCATTACTTCCTCACAGCTTATCAAACACTAGAAGCCGTTGCTTAAGATTCGAGCTATCTTCTGTCTATAAACAATGGCTTTAACACTAGGAAAAAAAATTTTCATTGCTATGTTAATGATTTTCGGGACATGGGCATCTCAAGTCATGTCCCGTACATTGCATGAAGCTCCCATTGCTGAGAAATATGAGCAATGGATGGCTCAATATGGACGCACTTATGAGGATAATGCAGAGAAAGAAAGGCGTTTTATGATATTCAAGGACAATTTTGAATTCATAGAAAAGTTCAACAATGCAGGGAATCAGAGTCACAAGCTAGGCATCAATAAGTTTGCAGACTTGACCATGGAAGAATTCAAAGCTACACATACTGGATACAAGTCTACCCAATCAAAGTCATCCAAAACGGTATCACCCTTCAGGTACAACGATACAGAGGACGTTCCATCTAGCTTGAACTGGATAGACGAAGGAGCTGTTACTGACGTAAAGGACCAAGGGCAATGTGGTAAGGGAATCACCATATTATCGCTTGTATCATCATATTATTAAGTTATAACTAGTTGTCTGACTTGTTATNATATAAATGAAGCAGAAAATCAACATGTGAAATAAGAACAATTTCTTTTATTCATAATACATTTACAAGATATAATGTCCTGAAACCGACAACACGATTGGTTCCTATGGCATACACTAACAAGGATGACCCGTGAGAAAGGCTGGATGTGTAGCTTTGGCCATATCTGCTTTTATATTTTTATTGCTTGCCCCTATGATCATGCTTTAAAACTTGTAGACGGTCAGAATCTACCATAGATGCTCGTGAGGATGAACCCATGAGGAAGATACCATTGATAACCTTGTAGATATGTTGTTAGAGACACAAAAGGATGAACGTGAAGTTGACATTGGTGTGGTGTTTGCCGTAAGCACTTCGACGCTCAAATTAGCACGGTTGTGACAAGTATTTAGTAAGGAAAAGAACAGGATAGGGTTTATCATTACCGTGGAGCTAAGACATGACTACTGGCATAGAGTGGTTGAAACATGGCTCTACAGTTAGGAACGATAGCTCTTAAAGAGGAGAAGAAGAGAACGAGAGAGAGGAATTGTGAGTGAATCCCCTTCTGAGAGGATTGACCTTTGTATTTATAGGAAGCCAGGGTGATTTGAGTTCTTATGAAATTAGGAGTACTCATAGTACTTAGAGTAGAGTTGTCATGAAACTCACAATACTAGGAGTGTTAGAATTCGCATGAGACTCACAGTCCTTGAGGTGTTAGAGTTCCCATGGGACTCGGAATCCCATTGTCAAATGAGCCCAATCCTTCGAGTGGCTCAACTCATAGATGGACTCATCTAGTAGAGCGACCCATGCCGTAGAGTGAACCCTCCAAAGGATGGGCTTTGATATGAACCAACAAGAGTTGGGCCACGGAATTAAGTTGTCTGCTAATGGGCTCTATAATGGAATCGATTGTGATTGGGGCTATTAGAGGCCCAGCATGGATTTTGGCCAATACACAACTATTATAAACAATATTCGCGTTTTCAACACTTGTTTGATTTTCTTGGTCATTGGCACTTAAGAGTAGGAAGCTTTAATATAAAAGACTGTAAAGAAAAGTAGTAATATTAAGGACACTAACCTATAAAACTTTGTCAATTCTCAGGCAATGCACTTATACTGATAAGTACTTGGAAATGCACTTATACTTAGTGATTTATAGGTGTCATTTGTGAGAAATTAGGTTTAATTTGTATAAGGTGACTTAATTGTTTTTAAAATGTGTTTTTTGGAGTCACATGTATGTTTGGTATGTTTTCAAAGTATAAGTGTTTAAAAATAATATTTGGGTGAAAATAATGCCGGCAAGGGAATTTTTAATGACTGGGAACCAACGGTTCATGAATCGGAGTTGAAACAAGAAAGTTATGGCATTTCGAGTGCCAATGGTTCACATGTCTATACCAATTCAAATCGAGTCAGCTCGCACATGTGCACATGAGTTTAAGACAAAGAGGTGTGTTGCAACATTTGGAATCTTGCGTCGCAATGGTGATGTCTCGAGTTTGCATTACATATGAAGAAGGACACATGCCACTGTAAGTAAATCGATGGGTAGAAGCAGCAGAAAATAAAAATTATTTCCCATCATTTACTCTGATTAACCCAAGATCAGGGTCTGATATGTATATATTTTACAAGCTTAAATTGAAAAAGAACAAAGATAACACAATCCAGACAAGGATAAGAGATCTTACGCATGTTTGGAGGCTCATTCAAATGTTTTTGGATTTACTTCGCTATTGATTCAACGTAGAACTGAACGAACAGTGATCCACACGAAGACAATCCGAAGAACCAAAGAGGGATTTGCTAGATCCACAAATTGGCTTCAAGAATCAAGTTTGAATCAAAGGAAATCTTTGATTCAAAACAAAGGGGAAAACGTGTGTGAAGGGTGAAAGGGGGTTGCCTTTTTCTCTCTTTTGATTGAATGAATAATTGTTTTTTCTTTAATACAACTTGCATTATATAGTGAAAGTTGTTGAAACCCTATTCCAATAAGGAATACACATGGGTTCCAACTCTAATCCACCCTTGTATCTAAACACCCTTCTTATGGTATTTTATTTTAATTAATTATTATAGTAATTAAAATAAATTAATATATTTATAAAATATATTAACATTTAATTGATAAATAATAATTCATTTAAATATATGCATACATATATTTAAATATAATCTCACTAATTTAATTTTAACATTAAATTAAATATAGGCAACAACCTCAGCAAATTTAATTACATTGTGAGATTACCAAAATACCCTTTTATCCAAAAAAGACAAAAATACCCCTTGCACAAAATGATTCTTAAATTATCTTCTAAGTGTGTGACCCGTAGACTCCTTATTATATCGGCAGTGAGTAGTATCGTGATTAACATTAATTAATCATCTCACTACATATAGACCAAGATTGACCCTTAGTAAGGCATCATGACCACCCGATAGATTCAGATTCAGTGAAATAACCACCTATCAACGATATGGTTACCATGCAATCAAATCCTTTCATTATCTGTTATCTCATCCAGACTGAGGTATAGAAATAGTGTCAACCTCAGTTATTCTTGATGTGTTTATATTCAATTACTGGACCAATGACCGGAATAATGAATTGGATTGGGCAACAACTCAATCCCACTATGGCCATAGATTTAGTGTCATTGCCATTTATTGAATTGCGTAATGAGATAACTTCTCCCGGTACCCGGGATTGATGAATCCTCTGTCGATCCACCATAGTCTTGATACACTCCTTGATGTAGCTAATCACTACTGTATTGATAGCTCTAAAAAGAACTACGTTAGGTTAGTGTTAAACTACACCAATCGGTGCACAAGACGCTCTAGTGATCTCAAGTCTAAGGATTACATGCACCACCATTCTTTAGAAGATTTGTTCTATAGACACTAGGGTTACCATCTATATGTAATCCTTTAGTGGGTTAGTCTAGTGAACTTGCTTATAGCAAGCACCAATGTTTTGCACCAGGTTGTCGACAAACAACCTTGAAAGTGAGATTAGTCACTACCTTTTGACAGGATCATTCAACACTATGATAGCCTTACTGTATTATCTGTGTCTTTAGTTAGAATAATACTGGGGCTACAGATATTTCTAGAATGACCACCATATGTGATCATGATCATAGTGTTCTCACTATCAGGATTTGAAACACTTGATACCCTTGCCACAGTTCTACCATTTTAAGGATATATATCAATACATATCAATATGATTTACACGATATAGAATAAAATGCTTTTTATTGATCAATAGACATTATTACAAAGAGTTAATTCCACAATAATTGATTGGCCTAAGGCACTTACTCTAACAACCACGACTGTGCAGCTACGAGTGCATGAGTAGAATGCAATAGGCTGTGACATTGAAAAAGAAATGTCACGGCCCGTGTGAAGGAATTCGAGTTGTTGGTTTTTTTGATTAGTTTTATCCGAATTTTCCTAGGGTAATTCCTAGAATTGTTCCAAAAGTACCCCTTGAACCCAAGCACTATAAATAGATGTCTTCAATATGTTTTAAAGGAGAGTTGACAAAGGAATTGACGAAAGAAGAGACAAAAGAATAGAGTGAGGAAGGAAGCAATTAGGAGGAGTTCTGCAGCAACACCATTGATCCACCCAATTTTCTTAAGATTTTCTATTCACGTCTATTGTTTGTTCTCATGAATACTAATATGGATTTATTATTTTCTACGGATAACTAATTTTCTTGTGTTGGGGGTGATTTCAAAGTCATAGACATGATTTGTGATAATTAATAAAATCTGTAATTTTCTTTCTTATTACTGTGTTTTATTCTCTACTATTAATGCCTTAGTGGATTCTCTTGATTAATTAAGTGTGCAATTGAATGGTTAATCTATCTGTTACCAATTTGGATACTTAAGTATGTAATCGCTTAATTAATTTACATATCTAGTGGTAAATTGCTTGCAATGGGAAAAAAACACTCAAGATAGCTAAATCAAGAGAGCTTATTCTAGATTGTTTGATGTATAGATAAGTGGGTAAGAGATTGTTTAATCCAGCGACACACTAAAAAGAAATTGAATTTATCGAACTTATGATATTTTTTGAGTTGTTATAATCAAAAGGGTAGGAAGTTAGGAAGTGCTTTTGTTAATTTGCTGTGCATGTTTAGTGGTGATGAATGATCCTTCAATCTCATTATTCTCATCTTCTTTCAACCTTGAATTTAATTATTTGTTTTTATTTTCTGCGTTACTAATCAAAACCCCCCATATTCGGTAAATAATTAGTTAGTTTGAATTTTTTTTACAGGAAAGACCCTTGCTTGCTCTGTGCTAACAAACAACATTTTAATGGAATTTAAGTAAGGTTTAAATTGGCTGTTGCTTTTGCATGCATCAATTACCCTGACGTTTCCATTTACCGAATGTTACTTAGCAATTAGTAGTCTCCCAGCAACAACACAAGCTAAATTTTATTGGCCACGCATGATTTACTAAGACGTTTATAAGGCTCTGGTTGTGCCTAAGAAACTCTAGCTATTGATTGGCGTTGTAGCGTCGACATGCAGCGGGACCTTGGCCATACTCTACTATGAAGCTATTTTAGAGTTTTGCCATTTTAAGTTCTGTCTCACTATAAAGAGAACTAACTTGTTAGCATGATTGTGGGATCATGGTTTTGTAGTGGGCTTTTTTTTGTCACATTCCATATTTTGGCCAACCCTGCCCATCGTGCTATCAATTTCGATACTCTGTCATGCCTAAAGGGAACTCATTGTCGTTGTGTAGTTAACAGGTTCATGGCTCATTCACTTTGCGACAGACTTACTTTGCCATTTCTGCTTTTATTGCTAGGGGTGGAAAAAAAAAAACCCGAAAACCGAACCGGACCGAAAATTCATTTTTTTTGGGTTTCGGTTTGGTTCCGGTTTGATTATTTAAAAAACCAAAAATCCAGTTTGGTTTTCGGTTTTTGGTAAAATAAAATCCGGTTACCCAGAACCGGTTTGCTGAACCAAAAAATAATTTGTTTTTACTTTTTAGTTTTGAAATTTTTTACTCTACAATCTACTGACTCTACTCTTGTCTCTTGTCACTCTGTCTCTCTCGTGTCTAACACTAAATCTAACACAAAACACTACAAGTCTACAACAGTCAACAGATCTACACTCTGATTCTCAGATTTCTCACTACCGCATGCCGCAGTCGCATTCTCTGTCTCCCATTCCCTGTCGGACTCTCACGCCGCACGCTGCCACGCCCCAGCCGCATTCTCTGTCTCTCATTCTCTGTTGGACCACCTCACGCCGCACGCCAGACGCTGCCACGCCGCAGCTGCATTCTCTGTCGGAATCACCTCACGGCTCACTCACCTCATACCACAAAGTAAGTCTCGCATTCTCTCTCAGATCTGTGTTTCCGGTGGGTTTTAGATCTGGGTTTTTAGATCCGCATTTCTAAAGTTCACCATCTGCATTTCCTTTATTCCATCATTCGTCATCGTTAAATTCAGTATATAAGAGACCTGCAATGTGGTGTTCTTCTCATACTCAAAATGGCCCAGTCTTGTATTTTTTCATTGTTGTTCTTCCTCACCTTCATATTTGTCATCATCTACCAATCTGTCCCTCACAGCACTCTCCAGTTGCACTCCATATTGTGACCCTTTAATCTCCTTGATCACTACAACTCTCAATAATTTCTCCACAGAAGCTGCAAATATAATTCAAGAAAAGACTTATGATCAATTTGTTATTATGCAAGTCAGAGTCTGCTGATCGCTATTGAAATATAAATTACCAGAAACAATAGCCTCAAAAAAGTCATCATCTTCTGCTAGAGAACTTCCAGCTTTCCCCTTCCATTGTTGCAAGTGACTCAAAACCTCAAGATCAAGGTAAACACCAATTGCTGTGAACTTAATTTGCAAAAAGTGTATCTCAATATCTGTGATTCCTGTTGCAGCCCCACAAAGGCAAAAATTGAAATAAGAAACTTTCGAATCAAATCAAATATGAATCATCTAATATTGTTTCCCTCAAGATGACTTACCATGACCAAGAAGATTTAATGGCTTAGCCTTTGTGATCTGAGAAGGAAAAGGGATTTCATCCACCTTTACAACTTCAGTAGTCACTGCATATTTTATTGCACACAATCAGAATTAAGTCATAGAAGCTAGAACAAACAGATTATCATCTGACAACTATAAGATAGAGAAGCACTTACTGATCAATTTTCTGGGGAATTCTTTGTGGAATAGATCTGGGATGGTGCAAAAGTTTTCGAAGTAAAATTAAAGGTGTAGCTGATATTAAAGCCTTTATGATGCTATGCCATCTAACAATCTCATCTTTTTATCATTGTTTAAGGTGGTAGTTGGGGATCGTGATGCAGTTGCCTTTGAAGATATTTATTCAACTTTTACCATTAATTGACCAACTAGTCCTTGTCCTTTCCCAAGTTGAAAAATACACTAGAAATTGTCTAAGCAATTTGCACTTTTCTTTGTAGATTATTAACTTTTCCGAGTCTTAATTTCTAGTGCATTTAATTTGTGAATTCTAGCTTTCAAAATGAAACGGTGCAATCTTATTGAAGGACTGAAAGAGGCATACGAGAAGTTGTCTTCTCCTAGGTAATTTAATTACTTCATTTTTAGTGTAATTGTATTTTATTTTTTTCATTATTTGTATTAATTTTTGTGTATAATTAATCGTTTCAATAATTCAAGTGAGGAAGTCCCAAGTACTACTGATTTAAAGAAGGTTAGTGAGCTTTATTACATTGGTAATTTTGTGTACATGTTGAAATATTAGTTATTTCCAATTCCAATTCCAATTTTTGATTATATCTCTTTGACTATTACAAGATTTCGATTCTTAGGATAATATAAATGCATGGTGCCTTAGACTATTGGGCATTGACTAACCATAAATAGTTAATGTGTAATAGCCACTACTACTCAAAAGCTTATAATGAAATACATAAAAATAACATAAAGAAATTGGGCCCAAAATTTTCTTTTATTAAATATATACATTTTTATACAAACTTATAATGTACACAAAGGATACTAAAACATGGTGGACAGTGTAACCGCTTCCTCTCGCGTGTCGACGTCCATCCGACTGTGTCTTCACCTGGATCCTGCAAAACATAGGAAAACAACGGGGTGAGCACTAAAATGATGCTCAGTAAGTAAATCCTCTACTCATGCTAGCCCCGTAACTCTCTTTCTCTAATTCTTTCCTTACAACTCCTCATTCAATTTCTCTTTGGGTACTTCTCCCTTTTTCTCTTTCTCTTTCTCTTAGAACTCTTTTCTATTACCTCTCTTTAGTAAGTCACGGCCCCATCTTACCGAGGGCACGGCCGGGACTCGCTCCCACTCTACGTGACCTCTACTCATTCTAGCCGATCGGACTCGGTTGTGCATAGATTCGGAACTCTTGGAGATGTGAGTGTATAATCTCTCTCTCTCGGGTACTCGGGTATAGCCCTCATCCGCATGCACTCTCACGGGCTACACCACTTCACTATCTGATACTCATGCCGCTCTCTCAATGCGGCGTACATACGGGAATACTCTATCCATTACTCACGGGTTCCCCATCACACAACCTACTCTATTCTCTTCTCTTAACTCTTAAAGTAGCTTATACTCACATTCTCTACTATATCCCAAGCTACTTCTTACTATTTAAGTGCATAAACACTTGTGTAGAGCTAGCTCATGCTCACTAATGCACTAATGAAATGCCAAATACAAGATTTCCTCAAAACAGTCATTCTGTACCAGTCACACTAAAAGACCATAACTTTCGTTATCTACCTCGGATTGCTATGGTTCTAGTCTCGTTTCAAAGCTTAGAAATAGGGCTATAACTTCTATGTTTCGGTCTCAGCCCAGTTCAAACCGTAAGATGCCCAAAAATTACTTAGAAAGTTACGGTAGTGACAGGGCAGATTTCACTTAGGCATTTCATCAAACATTTCATGTGCATATAAACACTCTACTAAAATTACTACTATACTTCATTCTCTAGCTATCCAAATTAGGGAAAAACTCCCTCTAACAACCATAATTCCCTGTCAAGAAAGCACTTCCAAAAGGGTTTACACCANCACGTTCATAGAAGTTAGGTGGTAACCACCACACAACAAACCTACCACATATATTTCTAAATCAAACATTATCTTTTCTCTGGTGTGAAATATTCAACAAACTTGAATACCAAAGTACAGTAGAAAGCCAGAATTGACATTTGAATTGAATAATGGAACAGTTCACTTACCTACCCTCAAAGAGAAAGTGGATAATATAAATACTCAAATGTTTTTTCTTTTCATTAACCATCGAACACAAGCTTATATAAACTGAAATAAAAATTCCAGATCAGGAGAGAATCTTGAACCATTCGAATTGACATATTGATTGTGTTATTTGTTTTTCTGTAATCCAATGATGTAAACATTTGTTAGTAAACAAGACAAGAAACGTCACCATATATATAGGCATAAACTAAAACAAGGCTGGATTCAGGCTGAAACCTGAGAAATTAAAGGGTTTGTATTCATTGCAAGTTAAAATTGTTTCAAGGACCAGCCCTTCATGGGAACGTTTTATTTGGACAGTGTAGGGATTTTCCATTGGGATTCTTGTTATGTCCAACACAGTTATCATTGAGCCAATCACTTGCAGTCTATTCATCAAAGTAAATGACTTGTGGCACTATTTTCCACCGAAAAAGAAACTTGTCGTTTAAGAATTAAATCCATAAGTGATTTGTCGTTCATCTCCAAACAGCAACCAACTTGTTGGTCCCTCTGAGTTAAAGCTAGAGAATGAAGGAACTATGCATCAAAAGTTATATTTTTCAATCTTTTCCAAATGTTATCAGATGTTTCTTTAAGCTATAAATTTGCTTGATACATAGAATATTATGCAAAGTTCAACCCCCTTTTCATTATTTATTTATGAAGTTTACATTTTCTTTCATTAATGTCAATAAATCATATATGACGAAACATCATAGTCTTGAATTATTTCTGCACCATACCTGCAGAATACATGAACAATCAACTGCCTCAACAGGCCTTTGCTTCCCTTTTGTCCTGTATCCATGGACTAATAAGATTGAAAGAGTTGCTTGTTATCTTTATCTTGTTGCATGCCGAGACAAATGTCAACATCATTACTGTTAAATTTAATCAAATTCTAATTAGATTTATAGAGCCAAACTTTCTGTGCATGTACAAGTACTCACATTTTGGTGTTCCTCAACTTTCTACCTTATGATCCTGAGATGAGATAATTCAAGCTATTTGGTTGCTCTTATCATTCATTTGATTTTACATTCTGATTGTTCTAAGCTTTACAGTCCTTCTACAAACAAGAAACCCTGGAGTTCCTTACTGTTTATGAATCTACATTGCCATTGATAACCATTGCTCTTTTAACACTCGTTGCCATTGTTGCTGGGTACTTGAAACACAAATGCTCATGGTGTCTTGGCAGAAAACTTCCACCAGGGTCGTTAGGATTTCCACTTGTTGGAGAATCCATAAGTTTTGTGAGAGCACAGAAGCAAAACAAGACTGATGAATGGATTCAGAGCCGCATCAACAAGTTTGGACCAGTATTCAAAACCTCACTGCTGGGTTAAAAAAACGATGGTTTTGACAGGCCAAGCTGGCAATCGGTTTGTGTTTAGTGGAGGTGATAATGGTATATCCTACAACCAACCAAGCAGTGCCGTCAAAATGTTTGGAAAATACAGCCTCTTTGATATGTCTGGACAGCGGCACAAGCTTATTAGGGGTGCCATTGCGAGCTTTCTAAAACCTGAAAGTATTCAGAGATATTTGCATCAAATGGATACTCTGCTTCAGAAGCAGCTACCCGAGGTGACAGAAAATCCATGAATCTTTTCCTACTCCTTTTAGTTTCTGCTTACTTTGCTTTATTAATCAAATTGACTCAGGAGCTTGATGGGAAGGATTCAGTACAAGTTTTGACATTGATGAATAAGATAACATTCAATGTGACTAGCAGTATATTTTTCGGGTTACCAGATGGGGAGTCGAAAGATCAACTTTTGGAAGATTTTTCAATTACCCTGAAAGGAGTATGGGCAGTTCCTTTGATTATTCCAGGGACTACACTTCATAGAGCATCGCAGGCACGGGGCCGGGTCTGCAAACTGCTCTCCAAGCTGATATTGAACAGGAAAACACAAATGGAAGAAGGAACAGTTGACTCCCAAGACAATATCATCTCTAGCCTCCTTGTTCTGAGACATAAAAATGGTGAACCTTTACTTGAACGGGAAGTTCTTGACATATTTTTAACCTTGATAATTGCTAGCCATGATACAACCACAATTCTCCTCAGTCATTTTGTAAGACACCTGGTCAGGGACCCAGAGGTATCTATCAAAGTGCTTCAAGCTGTTGAAAATATATCTTGATAATGTAGATTACATCAACTGCAGAATCAGTTTTTTTATGAAAGTCTTGTATTTGAACAGAGCAAAGAGAAGTTGTTAAAGCTAAACAGCAAAGAGACAGAAAGCTCAGCTGGAATGAAATGCAAATGATGAAGTAAACATGTAGAGTAGCTCAAGAGCTCATGAGATTTACTCCTCCCGTTTTTGGAAACTTTCGACTTATAACAAGAGACATCACTTTTGATGGCTTTGATATTCCTCAAGATTTGATGCTTCTTCAAGTTCAAGGGCATTTCCCACACACATACATCCCTTTTGGAGCAGGACGAAGAATATGCCCCGGGGCTGAATTTGCAAGAATTGAAAGTTTGCTAGTGATTCATTATTTAATAACAGAGTATGAGTGGACACAACTCATCCCTGATGAGCCTATTACTCGAGATCCCGTGTTATATCCTGCCATGGGCCTCCCTTTCAAGCTTTCATCTCAGAAAATATGCATAGAAATTGATGAATTCATGGTTGCATTTGTTAAGATCATGAAAGTTTCTGTCCACGATTATTTTCAAGGCATGTAAAGTTGTATTTGTCCAACATCATTAATTTAGTAGATTATTATAATGTATATATATATAATTGGATTTTTTCCTCTTTAAACTAGCTTTTGGGGCTCCTTCCTCTCTTGATCGTTGTTATTCTAAGTTAATTACATTGTCATCTTTTAAAGTTTGGTGAAAAAAATTTCCCCTTTCATTTTTGGGAAAGTAACGATGATACCCTTAAATAGAAACTCGATCAATCGAACATAATAATAACACCCTCAAATAGAGATTCCATAGTTAAACATAAATAGTGAAAAGGATAAAAAAAATCTTAAATAAATGCCTAATGGCTTTAATTAAAAAATCATCTTTAAAGTTTGGTAAAAAAAATTCCCTTTCAATTTCAGGGAAGTAACGATGACACCTTAAATAGAAATTCGATTAGTCGAAAATAATAGTAACACTCTTAATTGAACATGATGAAAACGATAAAAAAAAATATATATATATTTTAAATAAATGGTTAACGGTTAATCAAACAACTTATTATCAGAAACATTATTAACGATAACGGTGTTAACTTTTCAAAATGCTGGAACCTTTATTTTTATTTTTTTATTAATAAGTTAGAATATGATTAGTTAAAATAAATTAGATTATATACACATTTATCAGATGGTGGTTACTCGGCCAAGTAGATAAGCTGACATGGTCACCACGTGGCAAGACTTGTAATCATTCAGTTGGTGAAGACGCGCAGCGTGTGGCTTCTTAAACGATGCATGCAATTTTAACAAGCTACCACGTGCTCGCCAGTTTTTTCACGTGAAGCCGTCACAATCACCACTCTCCACCGTTCGATAAAAAATGACGGCTTCGATCAATCATGCGGCAGACCCCCGCGTACACGACACTACTTATTTAGATTTACTCCTCGTGGACCTCGTCGGACTCAACTCTATAACGGCCACAATCCCCTACAACCGTTTCCTTATTATCCCATTACAATCATCCAATAATAATTCCATTACAACGCGTAATTTAATTTATCTTAATTCCTAATAATTATACAAACTAAACTAAGAATTTCACTAAAGCTCAAAACCATAAACATGGTTTGATATAATTACAAATTACAAGTTTATATTATAATTATCTTAATTCATAAAATCAATTTAATTTCCTATCAAAACAATAATTTGGGGGAATATCAATTGGCGGACACATTTTCTAAAATGAGATCGTGAATGGACACAAGTGCTAAAACTCACTACAAATGGACAAAATTATATTAGTTACTGTTAAATTTAACAAAAAATGATATTAAAAAAAAAAGACATAAATGCCTACTAATAACTATTAAAATAAAAAATTTCATATCATTATAAAAATTGCAAAAGATTTTAAAATAAAAAAGCCTAGAAAATAATAAAAATAACAAAATAACAAAAGCGATCAATAGTGGCGTTGATCGCTAGCAAAGCCAACACCGCTTGCTAGATAAAGGTCAAGCCAAGGGTGTTGGCATGGCCAACGGTTTGCCATGCTCAACTAGACCGTTCTAGCCAATTTGAGTTGTCATTGATCAGGTTAGGCATAGTAATTTAACATTTTTTAACGGTAATTTATCCCTTTTTAGAACTTGTATTCATTTGCAGTTTCTTTTAAAAAATGGTATCTTAGAAAATGATATTCTCTTTAATAATATATAATAAAGTAATAATCTTACACATAAAAAAAAAAAAAAAAAAATTACTTGGAAGTTTTTTCCCCCAAAAAGAAGACTCAAGTATCTATATATAAATGTTTACTGTTTTTAATGTATAAATAAAAAAAAGTAGTATTTATATTTAAAATGGACGCTGATGTGAAACGGCTGCATCAAACTCAATTCTATACGGATGTAGATAATTATTTCCGGAGTCAAAAGTGACCAAACCCAAAAACAAAAGGCGAAACTTCTCTAAATATCCAAAATCAAACCAATTCTTCCTCCAATAAAACGCCTTTCAACTCTCCGCCAATCACACCTCTCCTCATTCTGGACCGCCATAAATCAAAAACCACAACCGATATATAATAGCATCACTTTCTTTCGTTTCGGTTTCTGATTTTGATTTTCATCCTAGTATGGCGTCGGTGAGCCTTCGGTGCGGCGGAGGAGCGATGTGTTCAGTGCGTCTCGCCGGAATCGATCTTCATCGCGCTCAATCATCGATGGTGGCGATGATCGGCCGAGGTAATGATAATAATAAGTGCATGAACCCGATTTCGATGTCGTTGGCTCGTATGGACAGTTTGGAAACGAAGAGGACAAAACAGAAACGAGATGAGACAATTTCGCATGAGAATGTGATCGACGAGTGGATGAAAAACTCCGTCTCTGAGATCGTCAAGAACTTACGTGAAGCGCCATTACTTGTCCACGTGTACTCCGATAACGGTCATTCGACGAGGTTGAAAACGGAGAAGTCGGTGTCCGAGGACTGGCCGTCGGTGAAATCAAAATGGGAGGACGGAACGACGCCCTTTCCGGAGGGCGTGATTTTCGTGAAACAGTTAAAAGATGACAAAGCGGAAAAAGAATCAGATTCGTTGATGGGAGAGAGTGACTTCAGTCGCGCGTGGGGGATTGTGGTGCAAGCGGAAGGGCAGAGTTGTTTGCCAGCGTGTTATTTGTTGAAAACGAGTCGGGCCGGGCCGTTAGCGGGGTTGGGGTTGTGCTGTACGCACTTTTGTCTGATGAAGGTAAAGAGTTTGAGAGAAACGGCAGAGGCCCAGTTGAGTAATTGCTGGCTATTGAATGGTCATTAATTAATTGTAATAAGGAAGGACTAATTTTAGAATTTTGTGGAGAATCCAAAGATCCCACAGAAGGATTAAGACTCTATAGATTCATTATCATATATAATTTTTGTTCAGTTTAATTTTATTTCTTGACTGAATATCTAGTTTGATCGTAAGACAATTATTGAATCGGAAAAACTAATATTGACATTGATAGAAGAAAAATATTATTAAATTATGATTTGATTTTGTTTTCCTTTTTTAATTTAGGGATTTAACTAGTTTTTTATTTAAATTTGGAGTTTAATTGAGTTAAGCTTTATTTTCTTATTTTATAATTTCGATGGTGACTTTTTTCCTCTCTCTGGCAACATATTTTCTTCTAATCACTTATTCAAAGTGTTTGTCTAACCTTATAAAAATAAGTGTATTTAAGTTTATAAACATTTGAAATTTAAGTAATTATATGTTTGATTAAAGTATTTATAAGTGATATTTAAGCTTATAAACATTTGAAATTTAAGTAATTATGTATTTGGTTAAAGTATTTATAAGTGATTAATAAGTAATTGATGCGTTTGGTAAAATGTGGTTTAGAAGTACATTTTATTATTAAAATGACTAAAAAGGATACTATAATAACATGACTTTGAAATATAAAAATAAGAATATACTATGAAATTTTAAAATTAAATAAAGATAATATGATAATATATTTGGTTAAACCAACTTATAAGCACGAGTGTTTATAAAAAAAAAAAATTGCTTATAAGTCCAGTTTATAAACCCAAAAAAGTTATAAAAAAATAGCTTAATTTTAAAACTTATAAACTAGTTTGACTAGCTTATAAGCTTAGACAAATACTGTCTAATAGGATTAGGATTTGGCTATTTATATTTTTTATTTAGCATTAAGAGTGACGGACCCTACTATTATATACTCCCTCCGTTTCAATATAAACGACGTTTTAAGTTTCTACACAACTTTGAATGAAACAATTTCATTTCATTTCAATTTGATTTTTTCCTCTGATTTTGCAAGTGGAAAAAACTTGTTTTTCTAGCTGCACACATAAGTGAGTTATTTAAATAATTTAATATATATATTGTCAGAGTAGAAAAAGAAGATGTGAGCGATGGAAAATGTGGAAGAGAGGAGATGAGGGGAAGAGAGGAGATGAAGAGAGAGAGAGGAGATGTGGGCCATGGAAAAAAGTAGAGAATGGAGATGTGGGTCAGAGACAAGTTAACGTCATTTAATTTGAAAAAAATTTACACCCTTAAAAAGACATTTATAAAAAAACAGAAAGAGTATGTTTTAAGTTATTCATAATAGGGGTGTTAAAAAAAAAACCAAAAAATCGAATCAATCCGAAACTGAACCGGAAAATTGGTTTTTTTTGGATTAACCCCAACCCCAAGATATTCTAAAGATTAACGGTTTAATAATTCTTATATTTTAAGGTTTTCATATCTATGACAAATACAAAGAACAGATAAGTAGAAATAAAAGAAGTTCATCAAAAGTAACTCTGTAAGATTAAGAGATGTGACCGAAATAACATAAAATAATTAAAAATGATAAAATCTTAAATAATGTAAAATAAATTGATGTATAAATTGCGTTTTTATTTTAATAAAAAAAAATCGTTTATAACATTGGTACATGAATTCGTCAATTCGTTTATCTCCTGGCTATTTTATTTTTATTTTTTTGGATGATTAAAGGTATTTTAAATTAATCTATATATATTTCAACTAATCTTAAAACTATCATAAAAATTTTAATAATCACCAATGTAAAACTCGAACTTAAAATAGTATGTTAAATCCTCTTTATTTTACCCTTAGCAATTGCATAATGTGTTCCATCCACTTTTACACTTTATATTTTATATATAAATATTGTCCTTCGAAAATTAATCAGTTTGATAATTTAATTCAAATACTAATACTAATACAAAAACTTTTAATTTAAATTTTAGGATAATTTCACATTGTGTTGAATATATGTATATTCACCATGCCCGGGTCTTTCAATTTTCAATACTCTGATCTCATGACCTAATTGTCTCTCAAATCTTCTTCTGTTAGATAATACCATGCGCATCTTAGCATCCCGACTATCTACTGTAATTTCTTTCCCTCAATCTGCTTCACTTCTTATTATCTTCCAATTCTTCATTTTAATTTCTTTTTTTTGTCAAATTTTGTGCAGCATTTGTGTAGAAGAAGATCCGGGCATGCTCAATCCCGTAACTTCTCATCCCGCAATGCGAAAGGTGGATTTTTTATTTTTGTGTTTTTCTGGGTAATAATTTGATTCGCTAATGCTTTGTTTGGTTGCAAAGAAATTAAAATTTTTTCTTTTTAACTTGATTGACTTGTAGATGAGATCTTTATTAAGCATAGAAGGGTTCGGTGGTTTGTCAATTCTGTGACTGCAACTTATCTTGTATATCTTTTTGGTCTTCCTTTCATGGGTATGAGAATTGATTTTCGGAATCGATTTTCGACTAGCTTATGTTATTGAAAGTTTCTGCCTTTGAATGGTTCTTAACTTAATCTTATGATTTCCTAAAATTAGGAGATAATTTGAAGATGCGACACGCTATTTTACTTTTGGAATCCAATTTTCCCTTTGTTAAAGCTGTGGGAGCTCATAAAGTAGTAAAAGTTTGTTCTTTCTTCTTTAATGACATTATTGTTAAGATTGGAGATTGTTTATGGACTGCATCTGATATTGTAATTTTGTTTTTCTATTGGTCACAGATGAAAGGAGGATGAACATAGTGGAGATTGGTGGTGCGCAGGAGCTTGTATATATGTTGGGGGATGCTGAAGACTATTATACACGGATAGAAGCACTGAAGGCTCTTGCTGCCCTTTCTGGCTCAGGTTAGTTATGTTTGCATTCAGATGCTCACCTCACTAAAAATGAACAAAATTTATTAGTTATGGTTAAATTAACAAAAAATGATAAAAAAGAAATAAATGCTACTAATAACTATTAAAATAAAAAATTCATATTATTATAAAAATTGTAAAAGATTTTAAAATAAAAAAGCTTAGAAAAAATAAAAATAAACAAGCAATCAATAGTGGCGTTGATCGCTAGCAAAGCCAACACCGCTTGCTAGATAAAGGCCAAGCCAAGGGTGTTGGCATGACCAATGGTTTTGTCTATTCAACTAGACGATCTAGCCAACTTGAGTTATCATGTCAGGTTAGACATAGTAATTTAACATTCTTAACGGTAATTTATCCCTGTTTGTGGGTTTAGTTTTGAACTCGTATCCATTTGTAATTTTTAAAAAATTGTATCTTAGAAAATGATATTCTCCTTAATAATACATAATAAAGTAATAATCTTACACATAAAAAAAAAAAAAATTACTTGGAAGTTTTTTCCCCAAAAAGAAGACTCAAGTATCTATATATAATGTTTACTGTTAATGTATAAATAAAAAAAGTAGGTATTTTATAAAATGGACGCTGATGTGAAACGGCTGCATCAAACTCAATTCTATACGGATGTAGAATATTTCCGAGTCAAAAGTGACCAACCCAAAAACAAAGGCGAAACTTCTCTAAATATCCAAAATCAAACCAATTCTTCCTCAATAAAACGCCTTTCAACTCTCCGCCAATCACACCTCTCCTCATTCTGGACCGCCATAAATCAAAAACCACAACCGATATATAATGCATCACTTTCTTTCGTTTCGGTTTCTGATTTTTTTCATCCTAGTATGGCGTCGGTGAGCCTTCGGTGCGGCGGAGCGAGGATTGTTCAGTGCGTCTCGCCGGAATCGATCTTCATCGCGCTCAATCATCGATGGTGGCGATGATCGGCCGAGGTAATGATAATAATAAGTGCATGAACCCGATTTCGATGTCGTGGCTCGTATGGACAGTTTGGAAACGAAGAGGACAAAACAGAAACGAGATGAGACGATTTCGCATGAGAATGTGATCGACGAGTGGAGAAAAACTCCGTCTCTGAGATCGTCAAGAACTTACGTGAAGCGCCATTACTTGTCACGTGTACTCCGATAACGGTCATTCGACGAGGTTGAAAACGGAGAAGGCGGTGTCCGAGGACTGGCCGTCGGTGAAATCAAAATGGGAGGACGGAACGACGCCCTTTCCGGAGGGCGTGATTTTCGTGAAACAGTTAAAAGATGACAAAGCGGAAAAAGAATCAGATTCGTGATGGGAGAGAGTGACTTCAGTCGCGCGTGGGGGATTGTGGTGCAAGCGGAGGGCAGAGTTGTTTGCCAGCGTGTTATTTGTTGAAAACGAGTCGGGCCGGGCCGTTAGCGGGGTTGGGGTTGTGCTGTACGCACTTTTGTCTGTGAAGGTAAAGAGTTTGAGAGAAACGGCAGAGGCCCAGTTGAGTAATTGCTGGCTATTGAATGGTCATTAATTAATTGTATAAGGAAGGACTAATTTTAGAATTTTGGGAGAATCCAAAGATCCCACAGAAGGATTAAGACTGTACAGATTCATCATAATATCATTTTTGTTCAGTTTAATTTTACTTTTTGACTGAATATCTAGTTTGATCGTAAGAACAATATTGAAAAATAAATTTATGAATCGGGAAGAAAAATATTATTAAATTATGATTTGATTTGTTTTCCTTGTCATTTCATTTTAGGGATTTAACTAGTTTTTTTATTTAAATTTGGAGTTTATATTTAAGAAGTTTAATTGATTAAGCTTTATTTTTATGTTTATCATGGTGACTTTTTCCTCTCTTGGCAACATATTTTCTTCTAATACTTGTTCAAAGGGGCGTTTGTAACCGTATGAAAATAAGTTTATGAGTTTATAAACATTTGAAATTAAGTAATTAATATTTGGTTAAGTATTTATAATTGACATTTAGCTTATAAACATTTGAAATTTAAGTAATTATGTATTTATAAATATTATAAGTGATTGATAAGTAATTGATGCGTTGGTAAAATGTGGTTTATAAGTACATTTATTATTAAAATGACTAAAAGGATACTATAATAACATGACTTTGAAATAAAAATAAGAGTATACTGTAAAATTTTAAAATAATAGAGATAATGTGGTATACTTGTCAAACAAACTTATAAGCACGAGTGTTTAAGGAAAAAAAAAAATTGCTTATAAGTCCAGTTATAAACCCAAAAAAGTTATGAGAATAACTTAATTTTAGAACTTATAAACTAGTTTGACTGACTTATAAGCTATACAAAACACGTCTAATAGGACTAAGATGGGCTAGTCCTATTAGACGGTGTAGAATTTTCTGCTGCACACATAAGTGAGTTATTTAAATAATAATATAATTATATATTGTCAGATTAGAAAAAGAAGATGTGGGCGATGGAAAATGTGGAAGAGAGGAGAAGAGGAGAAGAGATAAGACAAAGAGAGAGAGAGAGGAGATGTGGGCCATGGAAAAAAGTAGAGAATGGAGACGTGGATCAGAGACAAGAACGTCATTTAATTTAAAAAAAATTTACACCCTCAAAACGACATTTATAAAAAAACAGAAGGTATGTTTAAGTTATTCATAGTAGGTGTGTTAAAAAAAAAAAAAACCAAAAAATCGAATCAATCCGAAACTGAACCGGAAAATTGGTTTTTTTCGATTAACCCCAAGCCCAAGTTATTCTAAGATCAACGGTTAATAATTCTTATATTTTACGGTTTTTATATCTATGACAAATACAAAGACAGATATGTAGAAACAAAAGTTCATCAAAGTAACTCTGTAAGATGGGTGTTTGTCTGAGCTTATGAAATTAGCTTATAAGCAATAAGTGCTTATAAGCTAATTTTAGCTTATAAGCATTAAAATTTAAGCAATACGTGTTTGGTTAAAATACTTATAAGTGACTGATAAGTAGTTGACGTGTTTGGTAAATATGGCTTATAAGTTATTTTATTATAAATGACTAAAAAGGTACTACTAAACAAGGGTATACTAAGGAATTTTAAAATAAACAAGGATAATGTGGTAATATACTTGGTCAATAGTTTATAAGCATAGTGCTTATAAGCCAAAAAAAAAAAAGTACCTCCCCCCAACTTATTTTTTGGCTTAAAGCCCAACTTATAAGCTAAAAAAATGTTATAAACAAACATGTAAGCTTAAGTTTTAGAGTAATTCTTCTCCACCCTCTACGATCCCCTAAACCTACAAGGCAAGGTAAATCAATGAAATAGCTTCCCGACACTCTAGGTATAATCTATCCTGTCTCACCCGATCACTCAAGTTCGATTGGTTAAAGACTATCAATGAACACCGATAAACGCTACAAGGCAATACCACTAGTTGATACGCGATTAACAAATACAATTTGTCAACACGTATAATCCAATCAACCAACTTCACAATAAAAGCAACAATAGTAAAAATTAAATTAAATCCGAACACAACTCAATTACAATCGATGGGAAGTAATGAAAAGCAATATTCATCATTTAATTATTTCAAACCAACGTTTATCATTCAGCAAATTCTATGAAAACATTAAATCATAATAAACAACAATATTCATTACAAGTTATGCTCAAATCATATTAAAGTATCGAAATCAAACATGAAACGAAAACAAATATAATCTGAAGCACAATACTACCAAATGTCCTATAATCGGGCTCATCCAACTAGTCGAGAGCTGATGAGGAGAGTCGTGGAGTCAATCTCGATCTTGCCTATGCCGTAACAGACAACCAGGAACTTAACCGCTCATGGTGGTGATGACAGAGGTTGAAACGGTGGAAACGAAGCTGACCATGGCGGAGGGGAGGTAATCGACAGCGATATGATGCGAAGAAGGGGTGAAAACGACCAACGAACAGCCCGGAATACAAACAGCCGCACTCGCCGGAAAACGTTAATTTTCCGATGGGTCTTCCGGAAACAGTGGTGGAAATGGGATCCGAAGGTACCGATGGAAAGCTCTGGTGATGGTGAGTTCAGATCAGGTCCTCGGGAGGTGAGGAGTCACCCAAAATGAGTAGGATCTGGGCTGGAAGATGAAGAGGCGCGGCGGCGATTTGGCGAATTCCGACGGTTTTTGCGATGGATGAAGCTTGGAAATGCTAGATTCTACCGTGGGGAATGAAGATCAAGTCTTGGGGAGCTGAAACGTTGCCGGAAAAAGGCGAAATCTGGCCTAGAATGCGAAGCGTCACGGTGGTGGAAGATGAAACGTCGCGACAACTCTTCACTTCCCACGGTGGCGTTGACGGCTGATGAAGATGATAGGTGGTCGGGGAAGATGAATCGTCGCCGGAGGGAGACGAAGGGTAGCCGGAGCTCGCCGGAAACTGGGTGAACAGCATCCACGTTAACGCGACTTTTCGTCTTCTTTTATAGAACAAAATGCAAAATATCACTTTGGTCCCTACACAATTGAAATGTGACAAAATCAGCCCTTATAAATATGACAGTTTACTCCCCAAACAGCATAAATGAGACAAAATCACCCCTAATCCATAAACCACAACTTAATATCAACTCATATCATTTCCCAAATCATTCCAAACATGTTAAATTCATAAGAAAAATATTAGGAAGTGATTTTCGTGAATAAATTCATAAATTCTTTAATTTTCTCAATATACTTCAATTTAATCACACTTGGGGTATTTTTATCAGCAAAATAGAGTCACTTTCATAACTCTAACAGGGACGACCGTCCATAACGGATGAACGGCCGTCCCTAATTTTTATAAAAAAAATTAATCTATTTTATTTATGGACGGGCGTCCTTTAAATGGGGACGCCCGTTCGTAGTAAATGGACCCCCGTCCATATAATATGGATGGGAGTCCATGTAAGTGAACGACCGTCCATATTTGATGGATGATCGTTCACTAGAAAAATATTTATAGAAAAATCAGGCGTTTGGACTGTTAGTGTGAGTCAGGGATACACATAGGCCAGTACACATTTTCGGTGTAAAATAATCGGCATTCGTAGCTTTGTCGTTTTATTTTTTTTATTAATAACTTACAAAATGATTAGTTAAAATAAATTAGATTATATGCACATTTATCAGATGGTGGTTACTCGGTCAAGTAGATAAGCTGACATGGACACCACGTGGCAAGACTTGTAATCATTCAGTTGGTGAAGACGCGCAGCGTGTGGCTTCTTAAACGATGCATGCAATTTTAACAAGCTACCACGTGCTCGCCAGTTCTTTCATGTGAAGCCCTCACACTCACCACTCTCCACCGTTCGATCAAAAATGACGGCTTCGATCAATCATGCGGCAGACCACCGCGTACACGACACTACTTATTTAGATTTACTCCTCGTGGACCTCGTGGGACTCAACTCTATAACGGCCACAATCCCCTACAACCGTTTCCTTTTTATCCCATTACAATCATCCAATAATAATTCCATTACAACGCAAAATTTAATTTATCTTAATTCCTAATAATTATACAAATTAAACTAAGAATTTCACTAAAACTCACAAACATAAACATAGTTTGATATAATTACAAATTACAAGTTTATATTATAATTATCTTAATTCATAAAATCAATTTAATTTCCTATCAAAACAATAATTTGGGGGAATATCAATTTGTGGACACATTTTCTAAAATGAGATCGTGAATGGACACAAGTGCTAAAACTCACTAAAAATGAACAAAATTATATTAGTTATGGTTAAATTTAACAAAAAATGATATAAAAAAGACATAAATGCTACTAATAACTATTAAAATAAAAAAATTCATATTATTATAAAAATTGTAAAAGATTTTAAAATAAAAAAGCTTAGAAAATAATAAAAATAACAAAAGCAATCAATAGTGGCGTTGATCGCTAGCAAAGCCAACACCGCTTGCTAGATAAAGGCCAAGCCAAGGGTGTTGGCATGACCAATGGTTTTGTCATATTCAACTAGACCGATCTAGCCAACTTGAGTTATCATTGATCAGGTTAGACATAGTAATTTAACATTCTTTAACGGTAATTTATCCCTGTTTAGTGGGTTTTATGTTTTAGAACTCGTATCCATTTGTAATTTGTTTTAAAAAATTGTATCTTAGAAAATGATATTCTCCTTAATAATACATAATAAAGTAATAATCTTACACATTAAAAAAAAAAAAAAATTACTTGGAAGTTTTTTCCCCCAAAAAGAAGACTCAAGTATCTATATATAAATGTTTACTGTTTTTAATGTATAAATAAAAAAAAAAAAAGTAGTTATATTTAAAATGGACGCTGATGTGAAACGGCTGCATCAAACTAATCTATACGGATGTAGATAATTATTTTGGAGTCAAAAGGACCAACCCAAAACAAAAGGCGAAACTTCTCTAAATCCAAAATCAACCAATTCTTCCTCCAATAAAACGCCTTTCAACCCTCCGCCAATCACACTCTCCTCATTCTGGACCGCCATAAATCAAAACCACAACCGATATATAGTATCACTTTCTTTCGTTTCGGTTTCTGATTTTGATTTTATCCTAGTATGGCGTCGTGAGCTTCGGTGCGGCGGAGGAGCGATGTGTTCAGTGCGTCTCGCCGGAATCGATCTTCATCGCGCCAATCATCGATGGTGGCGATGACGGCCGAGGTAATGATAATAATAAGTGCATGAACCGATTTCGATGTCGTTGGTCGTATGGACAGTTTGGAACAGAAGAGGACAAAACAGAAACGAGATGAGACGATTTCGCATGAGAATGTGATCGACGAGTGGATGAAAAACTCCCTCTGAGATCGTCAGAACTTACGTGAAGCGCCATTACTTGTCCACGTGTACTCCGATACGGTCATTCGACGAGGTTGAAAACGGAGAAGGCGGTGTCCGAGGACTGGCCGTCGGTGAACAAAAAATGGAGGACGGAACGAGCCCTTTCCGGAGGGCGTGATTTTCGTGAAACAGTTAAAAGATGACAAAGCGGAAAAAGAATCAGATTCGTTGATGGGGAGAGAGTGACTTCAGTCGCGCGTGGGGGATTGTGGTGCAAGCGGAAGGGCAGAGTTGTTTGCCAGCGTGTGTATTTGTTGAAACGATCGGGCCGGCCGTTAGCGGGGTTGGGGTTGTGCTGTACGCACTTTTGTCTGATGAAGGTAAAGAGTGGAGAAACGGCAGGGCCCAGTTGAGTAATTGCTGGCTATTGAATGGTCATTAATTATGTAATAAGGAAGGCTAATTTAGAATTTTGTGGAGAATCCAAGATCCCACAGAAGGATTAAGACTGTAAGATTCATTAAATATCATTTTGTGCAGTTTAATTTTACTTTTTTGACTGAATATCTGTTGATCGTAAGACAAATTATTGAAAAAATAATAATTTATTGATCGGAAAATATATTGATCGATGGAAGAAAAATATTATTAAATATGATTTGATTTTGTTTTCCTTTGTTCATTTCATTTTAGGGATTAACTAGTTTTTTTATTTAAATTTGGAGTTTATTTATTAAGGAAGTTTTAATTGAATTAAGCTTGATTTTCTTATTTTATAATTTCCATGGTGACTTTTTTCTTCTCTTGGCAACATATTTTCTTCTAATCACTTGTTCAAAGGGGCGTTTGTCTAACCTTATGAAAATTTATTCCATATTGTTTGTCTAACCTTATGAAAATTTATTCCATATTATATGGACGGGGGTCCATTTACTACGGACGGGCGTCCCCATTTAAAGGACGCTCGTCCATAAGTAAAATGGAATAAATTTTTTTTATAAAAATTAGGGACGACCGTTCATCCGTTATAGATGACTATCCCTTCATTTTGGACGGGCGCTTGCAAATAAGAGACGTCCGTCCTTAACCAAAATATGAAAATAAAAAAAAAAAAAAAAATTTGGGAACAGCCATCCATAAATTTTGGACGACCGTCCCCTACGTTTGGACGGTCGTCCTTTACGTTAGACGCCCATCCATACTTTTGAAAAAAAAAAAATTCTAAACAAAACTCTTCTTCTTCGTCTTCATTTCCCTTCTCCTCTCTTTTTTTTCGTCTTCATTCCCCATTTCCTCTCTTCTTCTTCGTCCTTGTTTTATTAGATATGCGTGCCAAATCCAAAGACTCCGAAGTCCAGAAAACTACAAAAGCAAAACAGGGAAAACAATTTCTCTTTTAAGGTACATATCTTAAATTTCGAATCAATTTCTCTGTAGTTTTATTGTAATTGAATTATCGCTTGTTAGCATTTACATAATTGTAATTTTAGATCAAAGTTTGGTACTAAAACACCATCAAAGAGCTTTAACGCCATCAAAATGGAAGGGAACAGCGACACTGTACCAATGATTGTAGTTTACGTTACTGTACCTAACAAAGAAGCAGGTATTACTTCCTTATTCTGTTTGGCAGCACGTCATCGTTTTTTAATTTTCTATTCTTCAACGGAATTGAGCTGAATATTTCATTTAAAAATTTGTTCAGGAAAGAAGCTGGCTGAAAGCATAGTGAAAGAGAGGCTTGCATGCAGCATGCAGCATGTGTAAACCGGGCCTAGTTAGTAAATACGGGTACGGCAAAAAAACGGTACGGGAATTTTACGGGTATAATACGGCAAATGGTGAAAAATACGTTTGTAAAAATTCGGTCATAAAATTCGGATACGGAAAAAATAAAATTCGGATAAATAAGGGTTTAATAAGACAAATTGTCAATAATAAGTTTTGAAAAATACGGCAATAGCAATCTTGGTTTTAGCACTTTTCAAAACATCCCCATTTAAATAATCCATTGTGGTCGACTCTACAATTTATTTTCCTTTTAATTTAAAGTATATTTGAACAATAACTAAGATAGTATTTTATCCTTAATTTTATAGCTACGCATACAAAGTTTGGATTCCATTAGTATAGTTGTTTTATTTTCTGAATTTATTGGACAGTACATTCAAAGGTCAAATAATAAAGTGTTATGAAATCTAAAAACATGACAAAGTGCACATGGGTTTACAATTTGCAGTTGGCGTTGGTTGTAAACTGATGGTTTGTTGCTTTTTTCTTCTTCTTTAAGTATCTGCCAATTCCAATCCAAGCCCGACAATATTATTTTTATGAATTCATGTTTCTTTTGTTGTTTTGCCTTTACCTTTTGCTTTATAGATGATCTTTAGTCTTTCATTTTGACCATACAACACAAAACAACAGAACTAAATGAAATATTATGTTAAACAGATACCAAATATAACTCTCACAAGCATTTCATCAAACTGTTTCAACAAATCTATCAATCCACCAACAAACAAATCATCAATCCACCAGCCCCTATTACTACTACTCCAAACCACACAAACACAAACAAATCACCAACATACAAGATTCAAAGAGAGTTAAAAAGAGAAGAGAAGAAGTGTGTAGCTGGGCTTGAAGAGTTGAAGTCTTGGACTTAAAGCTTGGAGAAGAGAGTTAAAATAAAAAGAGAAGAGAAGAAGAGATCAAGACTCAGAGTAAGAGTGAAGAAAAAAGAGTTGAATTGTTGAAGATTTGAAGAAGAGATGAAGACTGTGGAAGAGAGAACCGAGAAAGAGGAGAAGGAGTTTTTTAATTTTAGTCAAACCCCACCAAAACGACGTCGTTTTGCCTTATCATGTAATTATTTTTTTGTCTGCAAAAATTCGGCAAAAATTCGGCAATAATTCGGGTATAATTCGCGAATTTAGGATAGGGTATATAATTCGCGAATTATACGCAGCCTCATAAACTACGTGAATTCGCGTTTAAGGGATTATAGGCTAGCCGTATAATCGCGTATAAAACGCGAATTTACTAACTAGGAACCGGGTACCAGGCACGGAATCAGTCTTTTAATTTATACTTTAAGGCCATTACATTTCTTTGCTGGGATGTAGCCTTGTGAAAGACTTGTTTGGTGGGTAGCTTGGATTAAGAATAGTTAAAGTTTAAGATATATTAAAATTTATTCATATCTAGTTCACTGCCAAGTTGTCTTCTGGAAATAACTCTTAAAATGAGTTCCTTTTCCTTCCCTCCGCTAAACATGGTGTATGAAGATGGTGATCAGAAATTTGCAGCATCTACCGAAATTACACCAGCTCTTTATAAATTCATCTGAGTATTAATAAATAAATGGACTCATCATGTGCGATTTTATGAAAAAGAGTTATCTTTTAACGTATTTTTGGGTAAATAGGTGCAATGTTTAAGCTCCCCTGTTTGCTTCTGTAGTTTTCTGGGCTTTGGAGCCTTTGGATTTGGCACACCTATCTCATAAAACAAAGACGAAGAAGAAGAGAGGAGATGGGGAATGAAGACGAAGAAGAAGAGTTTTGTTTAGAATTTTTTTTTTTAAAGTATGGACGGTAATGGATGCCCGTCCAAACGTAAGGACGCCTGTCCCAAAGTTTTTTTATTTTATTTTCATATTTTGGTTAAGACGGGCGTCCCTTATTTGCGGGCACCCGTCCAAAATGAAGGGACTGTTGGACGGTCGTCACGGTCACAAAATTAACAATAATACCGTAGTTAGCGGTAAGCAGGGTCGAATCACAGAGAGCAAGAACTAATGACCTAATGTATATTTGAGTTAACGAAAGAGAAATTGGCAAAATGATTTATGAAACTAAATAGACTAAATGCAAATAATGAAAGAGTGAAATTAAAACTAATAAAGACTTTATAATAAAAATGTTGCCGTTACGGTTTGGTTCAACACAGACTGACTCACATAATTCTTTCTCCACCCTCTACGATCCCCTAAACCACAAGGCAAGGTAAATCAATGATAGCTTCCCGACACTCAGTATAATCTATCCTGTCTCACCGATCACTCAAGTTCGATTGGTTAAAGACTATCAAGAACACCGATAAACGCTACAAGGCAATACCACTAGTTGATACGCGATTAACAAATACAATTTGTCAACACGTATAATCCAATCAACCAACTTCACAATAAAAGCAACAATAGTAAAAATTAAATTAAACGAACACAACTCAATACAATCGATGGGAAGTAATGAAAAGCATATTCATCATTTAATTATTTCAACCAACGTTTATCATTCAGCAAATTCTATGAAACACTTAAATCATAAAACAACAATATTCATTACAGTTATGCTCAAATCTATTAAAGTATCGAAATCAAACATGAAACGAAACAAATATAATCTGAGCACAATACTACCAAAGTCCTATAAGGGCTCATCCAACTAGTCGAGAGCTGATGAGGAGAGTCGTGGAGTCAATCTCGATCTTGCTATGCCGTAACAGACAACCAGGAACTTAACGCTCATGGTGGTGATGACGAGGTTGAAACGGTGGAAACGAAGCTGACCATGGGGAGGGGAGGTAATCGACAGCGATATGATGCGAAGAAGGGGTGAAAACGACCAACGAACAGCCCGGAATACAAACAGCGCACCGCCGGAAAACGTTAATTTTCCGATGGGTCTTCCGGAAACAGTGGTGGAAATGGGATCCGAAGGTACCGATGGAAAGCTCTGGTGATGGTGAGTTTAGATCAGGTCCTCGGGAGGTGAGGAGTCACCCAAAATGAGTAGGATCTGGGCTGGAAGATGAAGAGGCGCGGCGGCGATTGGCGAATTCCGACGGTTTTTGCGATGGATGAAGCTTGGAATGCTAGATTCTACCGTGGGGAATGAAGATCAAGTCTGGGGAGCTGAAACGTTGCCGGAAAAAGGCGAAATCTGGCCTAGAATGCGAAGCGTCACGGTGGTGGAAGATGAAACGTCGCGACAACTCTTCACTTCCCACGGTGGCGTTGACGGCTGATGAAGAGATAGGTGGTGGGGAAGATGAATCGTCGCCGGAGGGAGACGAAGGGTAGCCGGAGCTCGCCGGAAAACTGGTGAACAGCATCCACGTTACGGACTTTTCGTCTTCTTTTATAGACAAAATGCAAAATATCACTTTGTCCCTACACAATTGAAATGTGACAAAATCAGCTATAAATATGACAGTTTACTCCCCAAAAGCATAAATGAGACAAAATCACCCCTAATCCCTAAACCACAACTTAATATCAACTCATATCATTTCCCAAATCATTCCAAACATGTTAATTCATAAGAAAATATAGAAGTGATTTTCGTGAATAAATTCATAAATTCTTTAATTTTCTCAATATACTTCAATTTAATCACACTTGGGTATTTTATCAGCAAAATAGAGTCCTTTCAACTCAACAGGGAGACCGTCATAACGGATGAACGGCCGTCCCTAATTTTTATAAAAAAAATTAATCTATTTTATTTATGGACGGGCGTCCTTTAAATGGGGACGCGTCTCGTAGTAAAGGACCCGTCCATTATATATGGATGGGAGTCCATGTAAGTGAAGACCGTCCATATTTGATGGATGATCGTTCACTAGAAAAATATTTATAGAAAATCAGGCGTTTGGACTGTTATGTGATGGTCAGGGATACACATAGGCCAGTACACATTTTCGGTGTAAAATAATCGGCATTCGTAGCTTTGTCGTTTTATTTTTTTTATTAATAACTTACAAATGATTAGTTAAATAAATTAGATTATAGCACATTTATCAGATGTGGGTACTCGGTCAAGTAGATAATGTACATGGACACCACGTGGCAAGACTTGTAATCATTCAGTTGGTGAAGACGCGCAGCGTGTGTCTTCTTAAACGATGCACGCAATTTTAACAAGCTACCACGTGCTCGCCAGTTTTTCATGTGAAGCCCTCACACTCACCACTCTCCACCGTTCGATCAAAAATGCGGCTTCGATCAATCATGCAGAGACCACCGCGTACACGACACTACTATTTAGATTTACTTCTCGTGGACCTCGTGGGACTCAACTCTATAACGGCCACAATCCCCTACAACCGTTTCCTTTTTATCCCATTACAATCATCCATATAATTCCATTACAACGCAAAATTTAATTTATCTTAATTCCTAATATTATACAATAAACTAAGAATTTCACTAAAAATCCACAAACATAAACATAGTTTGATATAATTACAAATTACAAGTTTATATTATAATTATTTAATTCATAAAATCAATTAATTTCTACAAACAATAATTTGGGGGAATATCATTTGTGGACAACATTTTCAAAATGAGATCGTGAATGGACACAAGTGCTAAAACTCACTAAAAATGAACAAATTATATGTTATGGTTATTTAACAAAAAATGATATAAAAAAGACATAAATGCTACTAATAACTATTAAAATAAAAAATTCATATTATTATAAAAATTGTAAAAGATTTAAATAAAAAAGCTTAGAAAATAAAAAAAATAACAAAAGCAATCAATAGTGGCGTTGATCGTAGCAAAGCCAACACCGCTTGCTAGATAAAGGCCAAGCCAAGGGTGTTGGCATGACCAATGGTTTTGTCATATTCAACTAGACCGATCTAGCAACTTGAGTTACATTGATCAGGTTAGACATAGTAATTTAACATTCTTTAACGGTAATTTATCCCTGTTTAGTGGGTTTTATGTTTTAGAACTCGTATCCATTTGTAATTTGTTTTAAAAAATTGTATCTTAGAAAGATATTCTCCTTAATAATACATAATAAAGTAATAATCTTACACATTAAAAAAAAAAAAAATTACTTGGAAGTTTTTTCCCCAAAAAGAAGACCAAGTATCTATATATAAATGTTTACTGTTTTTAATGTATAAATAAAAAAAAGTAGTATTATATTTAAAATGGACGCTGATGTGAAAAGGCTGCATCAAACTCAATTCATACGGATGTAGATAATTATTTCGGAGTCAAAAGTGACCAAACCCAAAACAAAAGGCGAAACTTCTCTAAATATCAAAATCAAACCAATTCTTCCTCCAATAAAACGCCTTTCAACTCTCCGCCAATCACACTCTCCTCATTCTGGAACGCCATAAATCAAAACACACACCGATATATAATAGCATCACTTTTTCGTTTCGGTTTCTGATTGATTTTCATCCTAGTATGGCGGTCGGTGAGCCTTCGGTGCGGCGGAGGAGCGATGTGTTCAGTGCGTCTCGCCGGAATCGATCTTCATCGCGTCAATCATCGGGTGGCGATGATCGGCCGAGGTAATGATAATATAAGTGCATGAACCGATTTCGATGTCGTTGGCTCGTATGGACAGTTTGGAAAAGAAGAGGACAAAACAGAAACGAGATGAGACGATTTCGCATGAGAATTGATCGACGAGTGGATGAAAAACTCCGTCTCTGAGATCGTCAAGAACTTACGTGAAGCGCCATTACGTCCACGTACTCCGATAACGGTCATTCGACGAGGTTGAAAAAGGAGAAGCGGTGTCCGAGGACTGGCCGTCGGTGAAATCAAAAGGGAGGACGGAACGACGCCCTTTCCGGAGGGCGTGATTTTCGTGAAACCGTTAAAAGATGACAAAGCGGAAAAAGAATCAGATTCGTTGATGGGGAGAGAGTGACTTCAGTCGCGCGTGGGGGATTGTGGTGCAAGCGGAAGGGCAGAGTTGTTGCCAGGTGTTATGTTGAAAACGAGTCGGGCCGGGCCGTTAGGGGGTTGGGGTGTGCGTACGCACTTTTGTCTGATGAAGGTAAAGAGTTTGAGAGAAACGGCAGAGGCCCAGTTGAGTAATTGTGGCATTGAATGGTCATTAATTAATTGTAAAGGAAGGACTAATTTTAGAATTTTGTGGAGAATCCAAAGATCCCACAGAAGGATTAAGACTGTACAGATTCATCATATATATCATTTTTGTTCAGTTTAATTTTTACTTTTTGACTGAATATCTAGTTTGATCGTAAGACAATATTGAAAAAATAATAATTTATTGAATCGGGAAGAAAAATATTATTAAATTATGATTTGATTTTGTTTCCTTTGTTCATTTCATTTTAGGGATTTAACTAGTTTTTTATTTTAAATTTGGAGTTAATTTATTTATAAGAAGTTTTAATTGATTAAGCTTTTTTTCTAATGTTATAATTTCCATGGTGACTTTTTTCCTCTCTTGGCAACATATTTTCTTCTAATTACTTGTTCAAAGGGGCGTTTGTCTAACCGTATGAAAATAAGTTTATTTGAGTTTATAAACATTTGAAATTTAAGTAATTATATATTTGGTTAAAGTATTTATAATTGACATTTAAGCTTATAAACATTTGAAATTTAAGTAATTATGTATTTGATTAAATTATTTATAAGTGATTGATAAGTAATTGATGCGTTTGGTAAAATGTGGTTTATAAGTACATTTTATTATTAAAATGACTAAAAAGGATACTATAATAACATGACTTTGAAATATAAAAATAAGAGTATACTGTAAAATTTTAAAATTAAATAGAGATAATGTGGTAATCTACTTTGTCAAACAAACTTATAAGCACGAGTGTTTATAAGGAAAAAAAAAAATTGCTTATAAGTCCAGTTTATAAACCCAAAAAAGTTATGAAGAAATAACTTAATTTTAGAACTTATAAACTAGTTTGACTGACTTATAAGCTTATACAAACACCGTCTAATAGGACTAAGATTGGGCTAGTCCTATTAGACGGTGTAGAAATTTTCCTGCTGCACACATAAGTGAGTTATTTAAATAATTTAATATATATATATTGTCAGATTAGAAAAAGAAGATGTGGGCGATGGAAAATGTGGAAGAGAGGAGAAGAGGAGAAGAGATAAGACAAAGAGAGAGAGAGAGGAGATGTGGGCCATGGAAAAAAGTAGAGAATGGAGACGTGGATCAGAGACAAGATAACGTCATTTAATTTAAAAAAAATTTACACCCTCAAAACGACATTTATAAAAAAACAGAAGGAGTATGTTTTAAGTTATTCATAGTAGGTGTGTTAAAAAAAAAAAAAAACCAAAAAATCGAATCAATCCGAAACTGAACCGGAAAATTGGTTTTTTTCGATTAACCCCAAGCCCAAGTTATTCTAAAGATCAACGGTTTAATAATTCTTATATTTTACGGTTTTTATATCTATGACAAATACAAAGAACAGATAAGTAGAAATAAAAGAAGTTCATCAAAAGTAACTCTGTAAGATTAAGAGATGTGACCGAAATAACATAAAATAATTAAAAATGATAAAATCTTAAATAATGTAAAATAAATTGATGTATAAATTGCGTTTTTATTTTAATAAAAAAAAATCGTTTATAACATTGCTACATGAATTCGTCAATTCGTTTATCTCCTTGCTAATTTTTTTTTTTTTTTCGTTGTTTGAGAGTATTTCAGATTAGTTTGCGCACATCTCCACTAATCTTAAAACTATCGTAAGTTTAAATGATAACGATGGTAAGCATTCGAACTTAGAAGAGTGCCCCTCTTTATTTTTTCCTTAGCAATTGCATCGTGTGTTCCATCCACTTTTACACTTTATATTTTATATATAAATATTGTCCTTCGAAAATTAGTTAGTTTGATAATTTAATTCCAATACTAATACAAAAACTTTTAATTTAAATTTTTGGATAATTTCATATTATGTTGAATATATGTATATTCACCATGAGCAGGTCTTTCAATTTTCAATACTCTGATCTCATGACCTAATTGTCTCTCAAATCTTCTTCTGTTAGATAACACCATGCGCATCTTAGCATCCCGACTATCTACTGTAATTTCTTTCCCTCAATCTGCTTCACTTCTTATTATCTTCCAATTCTTCATTTTAATTTCTTTTTTTTGTCAAATTTTGTGCAGCATCTGTGTAGAAGAAGATCCGGGCATGTTCAATCCCGTAACTTCTCATCCCGCAATGTGAAAGGTTTATTTTTGTGTTTTTCTGGGTAATAATTCGATTCGCTAATGCTCTGTTTGGTTGCAAAGAAATTAAAATTTTTCCTTTTTAACTTGATTGACTTGTAGATGAGATCTTTATTAAGCATAGAAGGGTTCGGTGGTTTGTCAATTCTGTGACTGCAACTTATCTTGTATATCTTTTTGGTCTTCCTTTCATGGGTATGAGAATTGATTTTCGACTAGCTTATGTTATAGAAAGTTTCTGCCTTTGAAGGGTTCTTAACTTAATCTTATGATTTCCTAAAATTAGGAGATAATTTGAAGATGCGACACGCTATGTTACTTTTGGAATCCAATTTTCCCTTTGTTAAAGCTGTGGGAGCTCATAAAGTAGCCCGTTTTGCAACAGATGGTAAAAGTTTTGTTCTTTCTTCTTTAATGACATTATTGTTAAGATTGGAGATTGTTTATGGACTGCATCTGATATTGTAATTTTGTTTTGCTATTGGTCACAGATGAAAGGAGGATGAACATAGTGGAGATTGGTGGTGCGCAGGAGCTTGTATATATGTTGGGGGATGCTGAAGACTATTATACACGGATAGAAGCACTGAAGGCTCTTGCTGCCCTTTCTGGCTCAGGTTAGTTATGTTTGCATTCAGATGCTCTTATGAGTTAATCTATGGATATAAAAGAGAATATGATAACATTTACTGATATGTTGTATCTGTCAAACAATAGTTGAGAGGCAAACTTGTGTAGGGTAAGTGAACCATGAGTAATCACCCACAAGAAGCTATACTTTGCCCTGAAGTGGGCAAATTGAATGTAGAGATCCATAAGACTTTTGTGTTTGAAATGTGGAGTGGAGTAAGTGATGCCTATTATTGCAAATATTTGTTTTCCCATTGTCCTGTTACACAGATGAAGCAGCTGGAGCTTTATACCGTGCTGGAGCAATATCAGTTATAAAATCCACTCCACGATCCTCTGATGGGGCAATATTATTTTTGGGGTCCACTCCAGAATCCTTTGAGGCTGAAATCGAGAAATACAAGTCAAGCCTATTGAAGAGATTCCAAGATCTGAGATATGATATACCATCCTGAGATTGTGTGATGTTAAAACTAGCTTGTTCAACTTTAAACGTGAGAGACTGTTTTGTGAGAGCAATCTCCAAATTTGGAAGAGATACGTGTTTTACCAGGGAAAATTATAAGACTTTATATTTGATGTCTATTATAACTTGAGTACTAAAAACAATAATATATGAAATATGATATCTATAACAAAAATATAAGACTCTACTCTTTCTGCCTTTCGATTGTGTCGTGATTTTCTTAAGCTGATCTCTTTGAATCTTCATGAGATTTAGTATTCTTTTCCCAGGTTTTCAACACATCCAAAGCAGCTTCAGTCAAGTCACCACCTTCATCCTCCTTGATTGCGCTTTGAAGATCCATCCCAATCAAAAGAAATATTCTGTTTTCCTCGTGATCAAGTTTATATGTTTCAACCTTCTCGGGATTCATCTCTGTACCCACCTGCAACAAACAATATCACATTATAATTTTCCATCAAAGAGTTAAAAATATGGATTCATATATATATATATATATATAATTAAAAAGTATATTTACATGCCTTAACCAGCTTAAATTGTTGTTCGTTGAGGACGTAACTCTTCATTCTTTTAAAATTGCAGATCCGTGCGTTATCAAGATCTTCCAGTTCTTTTACCAGTCTCTTTAAATCTCCACGAAGTTCAGTAATCTTCCCCATAGCTTTTTCTTTTTCTTCTTTCAGTTCCCAAATACGATTATATCCTTCCCTTTGCTACTGCTTTCAACGAGAGAGATCTACTCAACAAAAGAATCTAAATCCGCAATTTATAGCATAAGTTACTGCTTTCAAGATCAACTTAACAAAAGAATCCAAATCCGAAATTTATAAAGAAATCAATTTTGGGTAGGATTCTTATTTTCGTGTGATATAATAAAACAAACTTCCTTATGTAAAATAATAATAATAATTCAAAAAAAATCTTATATTTTAAGATTTTAATATTTATGATAAATACAAAGAAGAGATGTGATTGAAATAACATAAAATAATAAAATCTATTTATGTAAAATATATTGATGTACAGTATAAATTTTGTTTTTATTTTACTAGGTAATTAAGTTAAAGGAAAACAATTTTTGGTAGGATTCTGATTTTCTAGATAAGTTTAAGGAAATTAATTTTTAATAGGATTCTTATTTTGGTATATATATTTCAATTTCCATGATTATATCTTTTTCTTGTTACTGCCTTCAACGAGATTATTTCTCTTAAAGAAAACCCTTGCTACTGCTTTCAAGTTTCAACGAGATTAACGAATCCAAATCCGAATTTTACCAGGCATCATTAAAAAGGTTTAGGGAGACATTATTGACAATAAAATTATTTGGACCTATGAACTTTATTAAATGATTAACGTGTAAAAACAGCAGCAAGCACTTCATGCATGACGTGCCATCTGAAGACGTCTTTGGTGACCTGTCTTTTCTTCAGGGAGACATCTGAAGAAAAAGTCAAATCTCTACTGAGAAGGAGCTATATCAGTTTGGAACTCAAGATATATCAGTTAGGAACTCTATGATTGATGGCTACTTTAGATTTGGTCATTTTATAGAGGGAATATATCAGTTTTGTCGAATGCAATCGCCGGGTATAAGACCTGAAGATTACACATTATGTATTCTACTTGATGTGTGTAGTAATAGGGATTTGGGGCAGATTCATGGTTATATCGTAAGGAACATTGGGAATGGTGACTCGTTCTTGGATACTGCAACAATTGATATGTACTTGACTTGTGTCAACTTCGTTTTTTGACTGCTTGTGGGAATGGTGAAGACGAGAGTTTTGGTATGTAGGTTCATTGTGATGTATGGCAAGTGCAAAATGATTGAAGCTGCAGAAGAAATTTTTCATCTGATACAAGAAAAAGAGATTGAAGTATGGAATTCCATGATATCAGCTTATACTAATAATGGCTATGCTTATGATGCTTTGGAAGTTTATAAACCCATGATATCAGCTCCATAGACAAACAACTCTGCAGAAAGTTTTAATAGAATTTGTTTTGGAAGATAAAAAACAAAGACTTAATTGTTCACAAATTGGAGAAAAGTCTCTTTCCAAATCCAAACAACCAAAGTTAATTGCAGGACATCAATTCAAAACGCAACAATCTCTACTCTACCTGACTTTGATACACTATCCACACGCAACAGTTTCAAGCACCACTGCCATGCTCACCACCCTCCAAATCTTCATTATCTCTTCCAACATCACCAGCAGGATTCGACGACTCAGCAAAGTCACCATGATCAGCATGCATGCCACCAGACCCTTCCTCAGCTCTCTGTTGATCAGCAGGCGGCACTTCGCTCATCCACTTCCCCCACAATTCTTTCGCCGCTTTTCTGATTCGTGTTTTCTGATGATGCATATAACCTTTCATTTCACTACCGAGCTGAAGATTTCAGAAAAAATAAAATTTATAAAAAGATGGGTTAATGCAGCAATTCAGACATTGGGTAATATATTTTGTAACTAAAGAAAATATAATCTACTTACCACAAGGTATTCCCGCTTCTCCTCAGTCATCTTGATTCCTTTTAGGGCTTTAATTTTTGCATTCATGGTTGTCAATACACGCTGAGCATCTTTTTCGATTCTATCGTGATCTTCGCCAATTGCTCTTAGTCCTCGAATGAGCTTTACATCTCCACCTTCAAGTTGGTTCTGGTTAACCGACAATGATCTGTTCTGTTCATCCAAATCTTCATACGGAATTAGATCTCTTCCAACATCACCAACAGGATTTGACGACTCACCATGACCAGCATGCATGCAACCAGCCTCTTCTTGCTGAGACGGCTGACTGTGGTCAAAACCTCTCTGTTGATCAGCAGGCGGCACTTCGCTCATCCACTTCCGCCATAATTCTTTCGCCGCGTTTCTGATTCTTGTTTTCCGATGATGTATATAGTATTTCTTTTCACTACCGAGCTGAAGATTTCAGAAAAATTAAATTTTGCAAAACGATGGGTTAATACAGCAATTTAGACATGGGGATATGCAAATGTTAAAGATCAAAACAACGGCACCAGATCACAACCAATATATTTTGTAACTAAAGAAAATATTATAATCCGTCATCAAGAATCAAGAAGAATCTACTTATCAGCATGTATTCCCGCTTTTCCTCAGTCATCTCGATTCCCTTTAGGGCTTCCAATGCTCTCAATACACGCTGAGAATCATCGTTGGTTCTGGCGTGGTCTTCGCGAGTTTCTCTTAGACTTCGAAGGAGCTCCACATCTCCCCCTTCAGGTTGGTTGTTGTTAACCGGCAGTGATGAGTTCTGTTCATCCATATCTTCTAAGGCAAGTAAAACAAAAGAAGATTCTTATAAATTTCAAGAAAACCAGCAAGATTCTTAAAAACTCTGTAGTCTGTTCTTAGTTCTTAAAGCTGCCTAACGGTTTATGGGTTCTTAAAGCTGCCTAACGGTTTATGGGCGGGAGAAACTTGAACCATATAATATAGCCTTGCGTCTTCACAAAAATGATACCACGTCGTTTTATTTCTTACCCAAAAGCGCTATTTTTTTTTTTTTTTTCGATAATTTGCTGACTTTAATCTCCCTTACTTGCAATGTTAATATTGATTTGTTAATGAGTTAGTGAATTAATTTTATTCTGTTTTTTAGGTTTGAGTATTATGCATGGGGGCTGCACCAAATTGCTAAAGCCGTTAGCTTCCTGAATAATGATTGTAAACTTGTAAGTGATATGAGTAAAATTTGCGGGAATATTTATAAATCTAGTTTAATTCTTCTTTTTCAATCTCTTCATGATCTGCAATCTCAGTTTTTTATTACTCTTTGGGATCTACAGGTTCATGGTAACGTGTGCCTGACCAGTGTTGTTGTTGCACAAACTTTGGATTGGAAGCTGCTTGCTTTTGATGTTTTGTCAGAGTTTGAAGGGAATCATGAAGCTGCCACTGGAGCAATGCCGGTAATCTTTGTATTTGGTTTGAAAAACAACCTGCAATTGCATTTTTTGTTTTCATAAAACCTCTGAAATGACGTGCATTATTACTAAAAACTCAAGCAGCATATATAATTTGATAATTCGATGGACTCCTTTAAGAGGGCAAATCTATTGTCAACGGATCATCAGAAAATAACAGATAAAGAGTTATAGTTTGTTGTAACTCAACTCTTCTTCCTGCCAACCATTTTAACATATATGATCAGTTATGCCTGTTGAAATTTCGGGTGAAATGTTTACTTAATTATATGTGAATATTATTTTAATCAACAATAGTTTTCTTTCTGTACTTTTGATAAATCAACTGTAATTTTGTTATTATACTGACTGATATACTTGGTAAGTGAGTCTGTTTTGTCACAAAATTTGATTTCTTTGTTCCTCTTTCCCTCAGCAATATGCATGGCTTGTTGGAGCGCAGTACAAATCTATGGAGTTGGCAAAGTCTGACTGGGCTGCAATCAGAAAATCTCCCCCATGGGCCGTCGATTCTTGGGGCTTGGATGAGTCTCAGTTTACTTCTTTTGCTGTTAGAATAGACTCTGTATATCAATTATAGATTATTTTGCACTTGTATAAATATTGACATCACTTCTTTTACTCTGATAGGCTGTCTCTCTGGTATGAGGTTGAGCAAAACAGAGGAGCTGCGTAACACTGCTTCAATTCCAAAGGTTTGCCTTTTATTGTTGGGTATTACTATATGACTACTGATTTTCTGCTCCTGGGTTCTGTTTCAGTAATTGCTTCTTTTATGCATAATTGAAATGGTTGGCATTTCTAAGTGTGCATGCCAGTGAACCTTCATGAGCATTTCTTTTTTATCTGTGCTTGCATTTTTGTTGGTTGTTATTTTCATTTGCATCTGCCTATTTTCTTGTCTCACAGTCTCTGCTTCCAGATTATCAGCGGCTTTTGAGTTCCATCCCTTCTCGCAGGTTGAATTCATCCAAGCTTATTGAGAACAGTGGTTAGCATTCTTTTGACTTTGAGTTATTTTAGTTTATTTCTTTGATAAAAAAGGAACAAGGAGAGAGTATAAAATATTGATTGTGTGTTTGATTTACTAGTTTGGTTTTGTTTTGTTTATGTTAAAATTAAACTAAACTAAACTGAACCTAAACAGTAGAGTACAGACAATACACTTGTGACAACTCTTCATGCCCTGCGCGCTCTCTTCTTAAAATTCAAATCAATCAGATCTGCCCTCTCACTCTCTCTTTTAAACCCTAAACTCACTTTCCCCCGCTTCCTTCCTTTTCATTCTTATCTTCAACCTAACTTTTCCTACCAAACCTTTTTCCACAACAGCTTGATTCTTCTTCAAGCTTTTCTTTTCTCTTCTCTTGCATTTATGCCACAGAAATCATGAAAAATCTTTGATAACCAAAGAAGTTAGCGATCAACTTCAGTCTGATGGAGAAGAGATGTGCCTATTACTTTGGATTTGGATGGTTCCCAAGTCGAAAGAGCTGTAAGGAATGCTTCATCAGTTGTGGCAGATGATACCCCGATCTCAATTCCAAAGTTTGCATTGCAAATAGTTCATGCTGTGAAGGATCTGCTTTTTTCACGATATCACCATCCAAAGGCTGTTAGGTGGCCACGTCACTTAGTGGAATCCAGATTTGGGCGAGAAAGGGATGAAAAGTTGGCCACGTCACTTAACATTCTGACCCATGAACCCGCATGGGTTTGAACCGGTTTGGTTTGTTTGGATTATTAATTAACTNCGACTACTGATTTTCTGTTCCTGGGTTCTGTTTCATTTTCCCCCTCTTAATCCATTAAAGTAATTGTTTCTTTTATGTATAATTGAAATGGTTGGTATTTCTAAGTGTGCATGCCAGTGACTCTTCATGAACATTTCTTTTGTATCTGTGCTTTCATTTTTGTTTGTTGTTATTTTCATTTCTTTGAAAATTCATTTTCATTTGCATCTGCCTATTTTCTTGTCTCACAGTCTCTGCTTCCAGATTATCAGCGGCTTTTGAGTTCCATGCCTTCTCGCAGGTTGAATTCATCCAAGCTTATTGAGAACAGTGGTTAGCATTCTTTTGACTTTGAGTTATTTTAGTTTATTTCTTTGTTACTGTTGATAAAAAAGGAGGCTAGTCACTTTCTTGAGTTATATCATAATTTTCTTTTCTCCGTTTTCCTTTTCTATGTGTTATTAAATTTGACAAATTTTGGATGCACAGAATATTTTCAAAATAAGTTGGTGGACACCATACATTTTATGGAAATTCTGAATTTAAAAGACAGCGTTGAAAAGGATACCTTCTTCCGCAAACTTCCAAATTTAGCTGAGCAACTCCCTAGGCAAATCGTGCTGAAAAAGGTGTTGCTTTTGATATTCTTATAGTGTATGCTTACTTAATATATAATGAATGCCTTTTGATGCCAATTTATGCTTTTATCTTCTGGTTTGTACAGTTGCTTCCTTTATTAGCTTCTGCCCTTGAATTTGGTTCAGCTGCTGCCCCTGCATTGACTGCACTGCTGAAAATGAGCTCTTGGCTTTCTACTGAAGAATTCAGTGTCAAGGTAATAAACCTTCTGTACTTTTACAGTGTCATATTTTTTTACGTTTGTTTTGGTCATTTTGTTTTCCATTCAATCTCAGAGTAACCATGTGCATGTTACTGTAATTGTTTCATCACTTCTGTTATGACTGTGGGAAGTTGCTTTATGTAATTTGCAGGTACTGCCAACAATTGTGAAACTATATTCCTCCAATGACCGAGCTGTTCGAGTGGGTCTGTTGCAACATGTTGATCAATATGGAGAATCATTATCTGCACAAATTGTTGATGAGCAAGTATGCAGCCGAACATAAAATGATTTTTTTTTTTTTTTTTTTTTTGTTGTGATTATTACAAATTCTAGTTTATATTATTGTTTGGATGGAAGTCCTGACAATAAATTTTTACCTTCATTTTGATATGCTTCTGACTAGGTGTACCCCCATGTTGCTACGGGTTTTTCTGACACATCAGCTTTTCTTCGTGAGTTGACTCTTAAATCCATGCTTGTTCTGGCTCCGAAGGTATGTTTATAGGATAGACATGAACCATCTTCTTCTTACATTCCACTATGAGCTGTCGATTGGATCTTTCTATCTTGTGACTGTTCCTCTTTAGGTTTATTGATAACATTTTTGTAGTTAGTTATGCGGAGACCTTTTTTAATGTTGTCTTATATGTTTCATCGCAGCTCTCTCAACGCACTATGTCAGGGTCTTTGTTGAAATATCTTTCAAAGCTACAGGTGCATGGTTTGTTTGCCAATAGAACTAAATTCTATAAATTGCTAACAATATAAATCAGATGCCCTTTTCTAGTGCTGAGAGTTACTGTTGTTGGTTCTTGAATCCTTTTTCTGATTTAGGATTCCTTTTCTTGACATAAAATAAATTGATGTCCTGTAGTTTATGGTGTTAATATTTGTTAATTTTTACAGGTTGATGAAGAACCAGCAATCCGGACAAATACCACCATATTACTTGGGAATATTGCAAGCTACCTAAACGAAGGGGTAATTATGAGCAAGTTGCTTATCTTTTACTTTGATATTTTTGTAGACAATGGTCAATCTCTGGTTTTATGGTTTTCTTTTGTTGATGAGATAATCATTAATCCAGTTGTCATTATGTGGTCTTTGTAACTATATTTGTCTTGTTCAAAATTATCATCTGATGTGTTTGAATGTACAATGTAGACAAGGAAGAGAGTTTTGATTAATGCTTTCACAGTACGTGCACTGCGGGATACGTTCTCTCCTGCCCGAGGAGCTGGTATCAAAATTTAATATATTTTCTGTCGTATTGAATTTCTAGCTATTTGTTTATAAGTTTTGGTTAGTTTCTTTAAAGTTCATACCATATTTTTCAGAGTGTTGAACAACTATACCATTTTCCTTTGTATTCATTGTTGCTCTAGGTGTCTGCTTACTCTTTTAGCTCCCACAGTTGTGTAATATACTAACCAATTTAAAATTTTTATGTGGCAGGAGTTATGGCTTTATGTGCCACCAGTGCTTATTATGACATCAATGAGGTTGCAACTAGGATTCTTCCAAATGTGGTTGTACTTACAATTGATCCTGACAGGTTAAATTTCTTTGGAAGATGTATCTATATATCCAAGTTTTTTGACTTATTGTACTTGTACGTGAACAAGGTGCTCCTTTTATTTTAAACAGTGATGTCAGATCAAAGGCATTTCAAGCAGTTGACCAGTTTTTGCAGATTGTGAAGCAACACCACGAGAAGGTGGGGTCCTCAATTTCTTCTTGCTTTTTATTTATTTATTTTTTTTAAAAATAAACAAGTGTCATATGTTTACAGCATGTAAATGTAGACTTAAAAAGATTATTTTTTGCATTTCAAGCACTGAAGTATCATAATGATTCATTATGTCTTTTTGCTCCTTAGTCACTACTTCTCTTGTATTTCTTGTTCATATGGCTTCCCTAGTTAAGCAGTAAGTTGTATAAGTAATCTGGGTACAACCTCTCTATGGTCTTTAATGGAAACTTTCCTGTCTTACCATTTCATACCTGTATGGTACTTCAGCATAACCCCAAGATCTAAGCCATCTGCGGTATCCAGCATTTCTTTTTGAAAAATAGATTTCAATTGGGACAAAGTGAAGTAGTTGCTGTGATGCCGTTTTAGTAATCTTTGTCTTAAATTGAAGAATCCATGCCAAGTTGAAACTTAGTTTGTAATAGCTAAAGCCTAAAAGCTCATGTAAGAAAGTATGAAGATATTATTGTGGTTAATGTTTGATTATCTCATTACTTGTGTCATTTTGTTATATTGATTTTTACTCTGTGTTTGATGTAGACAAATTCTGGTGATACCCCTGGAGCTTCAGGTATTGGAATCTCATCGATGCCAGGAAATGCCAGTTTACTTGGGTAAGTGATTTGAAAGTATTTATTCTATGAAAGTGTGGCTCATTTTGAACTCAAAAGTGTGCCATTTGGCCTCCTTCTGTCATGCTGAGTCACAGGCAATTGGTTGTGCATTTTGCTTTGTTATGATTGTTCATCTGTTCCCCTTATGCTTATTTTGAATTGTGGCTTTGTTTAGCAACCCCCCACCTCCCCCTCCCCCCCTCTTCTTTTTAAACAACCTGGTTCTGTGTTATATTTTCATTGCATTGGAAATGTAGGCACTAGTATTAAATAAACCAAACCATTGGCTTTATTAAATCCTAGTTGGAAAGGGGTGCCTGGGATTTGAATGGACTCATTTTGTTTACTCAATAAAAACTAAAGAACTGAAAAAGAAAAGAAAAATTAAATTATATGGAAAGTTGCACGAACAATTTGTTTGTTCAGATGATGCTGCGTCTTTCAAAACAAGAGTGCATTGATGGAATGCAGTGTGACACCTAAAGGTGTTCTTATCTGTCACTTATTTGTCCCTGTTTCAATGTTTTGTAATTTCCGGTATAGATACCTTGCAAGTACCTTGATTCTTGTATCGAATTGTTACATATGTTGTCAATTTGCCAATGAAATTGATTCTTTATTAGCAACTTTCCCGAAATGTGGCATTGACGCATTTATAAATGTCATGTAGATGGGCCATGAGCTCCTTAACGCTTAAAGGTAAACCTTCCGACCAAGCACCAGTTGCTTCTGCAAATTCTGGTACACCTCTAACATCAACGACATCCAATGCCAGCTCAGGTATGTATTTCGATTACTTATTATTACTTCTAAATGTGTCAATTTTTATGACAAAATTCATTTTTTATGCATTCTTATTCATCTTGCATCATATCCTTGGCAATTTGGACAGTTAAGCATTTACCTGACTAAAATCACTTAAGTCTATTAAATATGCTTAAATTGGTTAATAGGGCCATGTCTTGGATGATAAGTGAAGAGGAAAAGCCTGGTGTCACATCATCCTCTTATTAGAGAGTGGGATTTATGTGAGCTTTACTTTGGTCATTATTGGCCTATGTGGGACTTGCCAACCTTGTGGTGAACACGACACTTTATGAACCATTTACTGATGATAATATTAAGTCTTCATGGTTTCATCATTGTTAATGTGGAGCATGATGGCTGTCATTATGCATGTTGTGTACAAAGTTGTGACAACATGTATGTATGTAAGCATGAAGGATTCCGCATTATCCTATTGTCTGTATGCACATGTGCACACATATGTGTGTATGCTTGCACTTTTGTTGTGATGCAGTTGCTTTATGCTTCCACTGGATCATTACCTTCCATCATAGTTTGTGTGGATGCATTCTCTGCTTTTGATGTCTAATGTCAGTTTCTGGAAACTTTTAGCAATGGAAACTACAAGTACAACATCAATCCATCATGTAAGCTCAGGCACGGACTTTGCCGATCAGCCTGCACCTGTTTCCCCTACTTCAACAGATGGGTGGGGAGAAATTGAAAATGGAATTCATGAAGAGCATGATAGTGACAAAGATGGTTGGGATGATATTGAACCTCTTGAAGAGCCTAAGCCAACTGCTGCTCTTGCCAACATTCAAGCAGCTCAAAAGCGGCCAGTCTCACAACCTGTTTCACAGTCAAAACCAGCAGGTATAATCTGTTATATTATAGCTTGTAATATACTGGACAAGTTTATTCACTAATTATCATTTTCAGTAACTTCATTTCTTCTTGTTTGATTACATTTGCGGGAACACTTTCCTAAAAGGATTTCTGTTTTTATTTTCTATTTTCCCCAGCTACAAGTTTGCGACCAAAAAGTACAGTTAAGGCAGCAAAAGATGAAGATGATGATTTGTGGGGTGCCATAGCTGCACCTGCTCCGAAAACATCATCAAAACGTTTGAATGTGAAATCAGCAGCAACAGTTGATGATGATGACCCTTGGGCTGCGATTGCTGCTCCTCCACCGACTACAAGGGCCAAGCCTTTAGCAGCAGGTAGGGGCAGAGGAGCTAAACCGGCTGCTCCAAAACTGGGTGCACAAAGAATAAATAGGACATCCTCAACTGGGATGTAAATTTTATATAGCAAAAACATGACAAAAAGGAAGAAAAAAGGTAATGTTTTGTAAATTTTAGTCCATTTTGGTGACTGGATATGTGAATGAATCCAGGTGACAGTGAGTATGTGTTATATTAGTTGATTCATAATATCATTCTTTTTCTATAAATATTATGTTTGTGCTAGAGACTTAAACGGTTAAACCTAGCTTCACTTCACCAACGAAATTAATAGTGTTTGTAAACATACATACAGTACTTGGGATGTAATGTGTTGAAATTTGTTTTGTAGAATAGCAATCAAAATTTTCTGCTTATTCCATTGCGCATTTGATTTATCATTTTCTAAGCAGCTGTTACAATCAAAGTTTTCTCAATGTCTTAGTAATTATTTTTCCTGGCCATTGTGTCTAGGCCTGCAATCAAACCGAACATGAATGAACATGTCCGTTTGAAAATCGTACGATAAGCATGTTCGATTGTTCATGTTCGTGTTCGAACGAACACATGATGTGTGTTCGTGTTTGTTTGATTAACAAAAAGCTCGTTCGTGTTTGTTCAACTAATTTGTTCGACTAACTCATTCGATTAACTTGTTCAACTAATTCATAAATACCTGTTCGAATAACTCGTTCAATAATTTGTAAATGCCTATTCGAATAACTCGTTCGATAACTTGTAAATACATATTCGAATAACTCGTTTGAATACATGTTCGAATAAAAAATATATACCAATTTTCTAATTCATGCTCTAAAAAACAAATATGCAATAATTTATAATTCATACTCATTTAATTCAACATTTGAAAATAAACCAGCTCTCTATCTATATTTATATTTTAAATAATTCAATAAAAACTCAGTAAATTAAAATAAATAACCATCATAAATAATAAAACTTCAAGATAAATTAAACAGAACAATAAATCATTCAAAACAAATTTAGTTCCATATCAAACATGACACAAACAAAAGAAATTTGCATTTTGCATAGATATTACAGCACAACCAAAATGATTCCGAGTGAACATGCCACTATATAGTATGTACAAAGTTATTATTATACATATATTAATCATAAATTAAATATGTTTAATATGTTATGAAATTACCAAAATTATAGATTATCATATATTTATTATCATTACATAAATTATCATAAATATTTTAAATGTTTATATATATATTTTGTATCAACACCCATAAATTTATAATGGAATGAAAGTCTATTGTAATATATGATCAATATAAATATGTGATTAATTTGTTATATATATATATATATTATGAAATTACCAAAATTATAGGTTTTCATATATTTATTATTATTACATAAATTATCATAAATATTTTAAATGTTTACATATATATTTTGTATCAACACCCATAAATTTACAGTGAAATAAAAGTCTATTATAATATATGATCAATACATATGTGTGATTAATTTGTTATATATATATATATATTATTATTATTATTACTGTCTACATATATATTTTGTATCAACACCTATAAATTCATAGTGGTATGAGGGTTTATTGTAATATATGATCAATATAAATGTGTGATTAATTTAGGTTTAATTAAGCTATTATATTATTAAATTTGTTATGCTATACATTACTTGATTATACAATATGTTATGTTTATCAATTTATCATACTATATTTATTATTTATTAATTGAAATGCTCTCTTATAATATTTAATTATTGATTACATTTAGAAAAATATGAAGTTATTATGTTATTGGATTTATTATATTATATACCACTTGATTATATAATCTATTATGTTATTAAATTTGTCATGCTATGTATCATAATAATTTATTACTTTTTAATTAAAATGCCATATACTTATATATTTAATTATTAATGACATTTGGAAAAAATAAAATCCAAACATATTATATATATAAGAAAAACAAAAGTATTATAATATTTTATTATTGATTACCATTAAAAAAAAATTCATCCAAACTAAATCAAACATAATATAAAAATGAAAAAAAATTAATTAATTATAATAATGCATAACATGTTTTTCAAACATAAACGAACCAACAATAGAACGATTTTTTGTGAACGGATGGATCAGTCGAACGTATAGTGTTCGCGAACATAATCAAACAAACAACCCCTGTTCGAACTTGATCGAACATATTATCGAACGAATATCGAACTGTTCGCGAACATTATCGAACAGTAATCGAACGAACAACGAACGTTCGTGAACTGTTCAGTTCGTTTGCAGCCCTAAATTTGTGTCTATGATCTCTAGCGCCAATTACAGTTTCGGTTCAACGCTTGCTTTCCTGATTGTCTTTCCAATTGGTTTTGAGAGATTCCTCGTTGATGAAATTAAGCTGTTTTAGCTCACTGTACCCTATGTTTTAAAAATCGGACCGGTCTGACCGGGACCCGGCAACTTCTCCGGTCCAGTTTAGGTCTTAGGGGGGTTTTTATAATATTTTAAAATTATAAGGGTTACTTTGTAATTTTATAGGAGTGTTTTGGAGATATGTCAAAAGTTTAGAGATTAATTGGTAGTTTTTGGGGTGTTTTTGAAATAAATAAAAATTTTAGGGACTAATTAAACTTTTTAGGGGAATTTTTGTAATATATTAAAATTTGAGGGATTAATAGTAACTTTTTTAAAATAAAATTATCGTTGACGTCATCGATCCAACCGGTTGACCCGTGACCTAGGTAGCAAAACAGGTTGCCCTCCGGTCCGGGTTTTAAAACAATGACTGTACATAGTCTTTGAGACTACGAGGTTTCCAGTGAGGCTGATGAATGCATGCGACTTAATAAGGCCTGACATTTCATTGAAGTTATAAGATTAAGTATAGATTTGTATTGTTTAACCTTAAGGATCCAAAAGACCCAGATGACGCCAGAGATGGTGGTGAACATGAGTGGAGAAGAAATGGCTTAAGTGAGATGATGCAATGTTGGTATCAACATGTCGAAGACAAGAGAAAAGCTCTAACTGAGAATGAGGGTGACTTGACTCTCCATGGACAAGAGTTGTTATCTCAATAAACAATCGATCAATATCAGTGTGGTTGATGTGAGCAATGCAAAATGCACTACTAATTAAGTTACAGGATTGATGGTGATGATACTAACATTAACATGGGAAGATTACTTATGAAAAATAATGCTAGCTACCAAGTTAAGTATCGTTGTAAGTGTCTGTGGATGCTATCACACCAACAGGAACCAGATGACAATTTATAAAACCTAGAGGGTTGTCTCGGATATTACTTAAAAGAATAAAGTAGTGGGAGAAATTTCCGAAGACTAAAGGGTTTTAAAGTAATTATCGCAATAGTAGTGCTATACTTAGAAAGAAATCTTACAGAGATCTCTATACAAAATGATGTGGCAAAAAATAAAAAGAATAGTAAATACAATGAGTTTGACTTTTTGTTTCACTCTTCCATTCATTTTTTGTCTTTCCATTTTGTATGGAAATCTTTGTAAGATTTCTTTGCAAGTATAATATTATTTTTATCGCAAGTATGAAAGGAGAATCATATTGAATCTTTTTCAATAAAACGTTGTCGTTTCTGGTTTGAGATAAACCCTCATCAGAATCAGTTACTAATAAAACGATTTAGAAGTTTGCCATGTTTTTTAGTTCATAAAAAAAAGAAATTCAGATGTTGGCACTACTATTCTTTTATTCATTAAACAACTAATTAAGCATCAATCCATGAAAGGAAAACATGCAGTTATGAAAGTGTTGAAGCTTACTAAGACCCCAAAAAATGAATTATGTGTTTTGATATGAAAGTGCAAAAAGCTCATTAAGTTAAATTTCATGCTTGATTTTGTCATTGCTCCTTCCCCTACGCCATGCAAAGCAAAGTAACTAATGTCACGGACTAAGAGGTTTTCAAGATAGTTTTGGTAGAAGGGTGTGTTTGTTTTATTATTCCTATCATATCTTATTCAAAATACATGTTTGTTTCATTATTCTCACAATGTAGACCTGGGCAGGGACCAATCCCAATCGAGTCTAGGTCTGGACGACTCAACACAGTCACCATGATCAGCATGCATGCCACCAGACTCTTCTTGTTGAGCATGCTAACTGAGGTCAGAGCCTCTCTGTTGATCGACAGGCGACACTTCACTCATCTAGTTCTTCCATAATTCTTTTGCTATGTTTCTGATTCGTGTTTTCTGATGATGTATATAATATTTCTTTTCACTATCGAGCTTAAGATTTCAGAAAAATTAAAATTTTCAAAAAGATGGGTTAATGCAACAATTCAAACATTGGAATATGCAAATGTTAAAGGGTCAAAATAACAGTGTCAAAACAAAACTCATATATTTTATAACTAAAGAAAATATAATAATCCATCATCAAGAATCAAGATTCAAGAAATCTACTTACCAAAATGTATTCCCGCTTTCCCTCGGTCATCTCGATTCCTTTTAGGGTTTGAAATCTTTCCGCAAAGGCTTTCAATACACGCTGAGAATCATTTTTTATTCTGGCGTGATCTTCGCAAATCACTCTTAGATTTTGAATGAGCTCCACATCTCCTCTTTCAAGTTGGTTCTCATTAATCGGCATGATTCTGGTGTGATCCACGCCATGCAAAGCAAAGTAATTGATATCATGAACTAAGAGGTTTTCAAGACAGTTTTGGTAGAAAGGTGTGTCTGTTTTATTATTCCTATCATATCTTATTCAAAATACATGTTTGTTTCATTATTCACAAAATCTAGACCTGGGTAGGGACCGGTCCCAACCGGGTCTAAGTTTGGACCCGATTGGGACTAGTCCCAACCGGGTCTAAGTTTGGACCCGATTGGGACTAGTCCCAACGAGACTGGTCCCATTTTTGGGACAAGTCACTCATGGGCCTAGGACCGATCCCAGGCCCATGAGAAATTTTAGGGACAAAATGGTTCTTAAAATTTCTCATGGGCTTGGTCCGGGTTTAGGACCAAGCCTAGTATCGATTTTTTGGGCTGGTTTTTTGGAACCAGTCCCAAATGCCTAGGTCTATCAAAACCGAATCATATTTTATTCAACTCAAAATATTTAGATTTTTTTTAACCTCATAGGTTTGTTAATATAACTAAACACCCCCAACAATAAAAAATTATAAATTGACAAAAACACCCCCACCCACCC